ATGGGCCTTGCAACTTAACTAGGTAACTACCTAACAAGACAAACAAAATTCACAAAGGTCAATATTCTCCAAAGGGTTAAAACATATGAAGGAACATAGAAATCTTCACACACTTGAAAGATGACAGTCATCAGTCATCAATAACACTGGGTAGATACCACAGTGCATATGATAAAGGAAGCTTAGCCTCAGTGGGTATTTCAGTGGCCAGGCACATGCTTAGCATGCACAAAATCTCACATTTAAATCCCAGCAGCAATCCATGATTAACAATATAATTGCCACAAACTTCTCAAAGTTGTCAAGAGATTAAACTGCAGATTTTAAACGGTGAACTCCAAACAGAACAAATTTAAATAAATGTATATTAGATACAGCATCACGAAATTATTGAAAAGGAAAGGTAAGTGAAATCTCTTGAAAACAGCAGGGCCGGGAAGAAAAGAGCACATACCCATATCTTAGTTATTTTACTTTTGTTACGACAAAACATAATGACCTAAGACACTTATGAAAAAAAGTTTTAATTCAAGACTCTGTGCTCCAAGAATGTTGTAATTCATGAGCATGCATATCAACAGGCAGGCAGGCAGGCAAGGTGCCAGAGCAGTAGCTGAGAGCTTACATATTGAGATAGAAGCTTGGGGTAGAGAAATGGTATGATCGTTTGAAACCTCAAAGCTCACTCCTTTTGTCATATCTACTCTAACAAAACCACATAACTTGATACTTTTGTCTTAGTCAGGCCCAATGATCTAGGACCCAATGACCAACGTTTTGTCTTTACTAGGTCACCCTTCCCAACCTTCAGACATGCACAGTCTCCTCTTCAATGGCAGAATTCTGTCAATAAGACAGAATCACAGCAGCACTCACTGTCCCTGACATCTAAACTCAGGTTATTAGCCTCTCAGCCCCTGGGTCACACACAGCCTCTGCAGAGGCACCAAGGGACAACCCTCCCCTGATGCAGGCTCTTGACTCCACTCAAGTCCTCTTGTCTTTCTGCTTCATCACCAAACTCACTAGCTGCTTCACTCTCACTCACCCAGCAAATGTGTCTGGGGACACTCTCCTGTCTCCTGAGTAGAGGCCCAGGAGTCTGTCTCTCAAGTAGATGAGCACCTCTGCATCCTTGAGGATGGATGCTCAGCAGGATACCACCCAGTTAGTTGTGTCAGGTTCATTCCAGCTGCCAGTGACAGGCCCTGAGGAAAAGAGCAGTCTTTCCTGCCTCAGATCTCCATCTTCAGGGGCTTAAGGGCACGAAGGGGTTACAGTAACACAATGGTCAAGAGCCCTTCCACAAAGGGGAAGGAGGCTCCAACCAATAACTCTCATCTCTGTTTTTTTCCCCTCATCAAAAACAATCAGACTTCTGGGTACTAGTGTTAAAGACACATTCATTTCGTGCATCTGAATCCATGAAGAGGATAAAGGAGGATATCATTGCCAAGGTCCCTCTTTAGACTTAGAACACCCTGTGGAGGGGGCAGGTTGTTAAAAGATGAAGCAAAAGAAAAGCATAGTGCACACCTGCAAGCCCAGAAAGACTGAACAATCCTGATTTAGAACCCAACCTGGGCCACATGGTGGTACCCTGACTTGAAGGGAGGTGGGAGGAATAAGGACAGGGGGGAAGAACAGGAGGAGAGGGGAACTAAGGGAGAGGGGAGGGGAGGGGAGGGGATGAGAGCAGATGTTTGGCCTGGAATGCACCCGCAATTTCAACTCTAGTGATTCCAAGGCAGGAAGAGTTAAGATTATCCTGGGCTACAGGAATAACTGATGATGATGATGATGATGATGATGATAATGATGATGGTGGTGGTGGTGATGGTGATGGTGATGATGTGGCAAAGGTATCTGGGGATGTGGTTTGGCTTGCACAATGCTTGCTTATGGAGCATGAAATCATAGATTAGAATTCCTCATTACATATAACCCAGCAATTGGGAGGTGGAGGGAGAGTGACCCAGAATTTCAAGGTCACCTCACCTAAGCAGAAATTTTGAAACAAATCTGAGATATGCGAGGCCTTGTCTCAACAACTACAACGAGGGTAAGATGAGTGAGGGTTGGAAAGAGAAGCAGAACTGAGTCTCTTCTTTCACAGCTACACAGGGAAATTCATTGTAAGCAGCATCGAAAAACTGAAGGAGGAAACATAAGGGACAGGGAGAGGGAAAATTTCAGTGACTCATCGAGTCATATAGGCTCCTCCTCCAGCAATTATACAGGTGACTATCACAATTTTCCTGGTACCACTTTCCCTGGCGCTTTCACTATAGGAACCTGGCAAAAGCCCAATTCTTTGGTTGCACTGTGACTTACTGAAAAAGATATACCTGTAAGCTTAAGGTCATGCCAGGTAACACCGTCTGACAGCTTACTGAAAAGGTGGCAGTTGACCCAAAGCTGTCATCACATGTGGAAACACACAGGCTAGACAGAAACTTTCATCAGTTCACTTACACGAAACAAAGAGCCAGTGTTTCCTGACAAGCAGGGTGCATAGAGATGGGAAATGGCATTTGATACAGGTCTGGTGGGGGCTGAACAAATGGCCAGTATGAAAAACACAGTGACATCTGTCCTAGGAAATAGACAAGCTCTGGAGAGAGTAGGGTCACAGGAGGAGACTGGAACCACTGAGGGGGTCAGAGACTTCCCATATAGAACAGAGTCTAGACTGCAAAGGCATGGGCTGCAGAGACCCACAGAGGCTGGGCACCCCGTTTCTAAATGGAAAGAACAGGCAGAGATGTCTACCTGTAATCCAAGACTGAGACAGGAGGATCAATAGGAGTTCAACACAGGCCTTTATTGTGAGATTTTGCCTGAAAATGAATTCTTTTGGACAAAAAGCAAGGACCTAAACACCATAGTGCAAGCCTATAATCCTAGAACTCAGGAGGCAGAGGTAGCAGCAGGAAGGTTACCAAGTTTGAGATAGCCTAGGACACATACAAGACTATCTCAAAAAAAAAAAAACAAAAACCAAAAACCAAAACCCTAACATAATGAGTAAATGAATGAGTGAATGAATGAAATGGAAAGGGTAAGCATGAGAGATGATTATACATTATGAAACAAATCTCAAAGGCCTTATGTGTCACACTAAGACATTTGGGTTACTTTTCAGGCAAAGGGACACACACAAGATTCCAGTGACAGAGGACAGATCAAGAGAATGGTGTGAGTCATGTCAGTGTCTTGGTCCATTTTATGTTTCTACCACCAAAAGTCACCAGCTGGATAAATTGCAGAAAACAGACGCCAGTTCACCATCCTGGAAGCTGGGAAGTCTAATGGTCAATGTTCTGGCAGCTGGCCAGGGCCTTGGTGCTCCATGTTAATATCTCACCTTAATCACTACTCAAAGGCCTGACCTCCAAAGCCATCCATACAGGAACTGAGAGATGTTTCCCAAGCAGGAACTCTCTGGGGCACAGTTCAAACCCCAGCAGTCAGGTTTGCAGTATAGGGAGATGAGTCAGGGAGCAGGAGGAAAATAGGTTGCAGAGGTGAGAGTCAGAGAATCCCAGTCAGTGCAGGTCAGGTAAGAGCAATGCAGAAACAGAGAGACCTGAAGAAAGACTGAGTCACTGAATCAGGTGCAGGAGAGGAAGATGAAGCCAAGAAACAGCTATGGCAGACAACAGATCCATAGAGGGAGCCAGCAGTGAGACAGAGGGATTCAGGCTTCTCCAGATTTGTACCTTTCCCTGTTGATTGGGCAAGGCTGCCAGAAGCATTGCTCACACTATATGAATTTCCCTGGGAAGGGTTTTTCACTCATAAGACAACTGTCCCCCGCACTGAACTGCTCTACAGGGGACCACAAGAGCCCTCACCTTCCATGTAGAGATCCCTCATTGAGCCATTGCCCTGGGTCCAGTGAAGCCAGCACCGTGCCCACTGCCCCCTTGCACCCAGAACCTTGCCAGCAAACCCAGCTTTCTGCACCTTGGGCCCTCCCCTCTAGGCCTAACACCAGGTTCCCTGCCTCCTGCACCAAACCAAACCCCAGCACCCTACCTTCTGCATGCAATCCCCTGGGGCCTGTTCTCTGAACCCAGTTTCCAGATCCTGGCCACTGCACTCTACACCCTAGGCCCTTCCCTGCCCACAGTGTCCTGTCCTAGGTGTCCAGAGCCAAGTGTCTGCCTCTGTTCCCTAAGCCCTGCCTCTTTACTCAGCCAAGTGCCCAACCCACACACCTACCCATACCCAACTCAGACCACGCCCCCAACCTCACCTGTGCCTAGACCTCACCTCCTGGCTCTGCCTTCCCCAGTTCATTCCCTGAGCCCCTAGTTTCACCCGAGTCCAGGACTCACATCTGGATCTGCCCCTACCTAGTCCTGCCCACCAGTTCCAGCCTTGTTTAAACTTCAGGGCTCAATGTTCCTCAATGCTGGCCTTAGCTCCCGTACCTGGAGAGTGAGTGACAAGGTGCTGGTGTCCAAGGTAAGCTTGCAGCCTTGGCTTTCTGGCCCAAAGTTGCTAGGGAAGTTTGTCCCCTGCCTGCAGAACAGCTGGGTCTGCCACATTGTGAGGCTAGCAGGACAGCAAGATACTCCCTTGGAGGTTTCCCAGCAAGAGAGCTCCCAAGAGTGACCTTACATGTCCTAAAGGGTAAGGATAGACATGATCAGGACCCCTGGCAAACCTGAAGGAGCCCTGAGCTCTGGTCCCCTCAGTGTCCACGCCTGCAGGCCCAGCCCAGAACGTCTAGGGCTCTCAGTGCTAGGTTAAGGCAACATTAGTTATCTGTGCACCTCACATTTGCAGTCCTTTATCAGCAATGTGGGCTTCAAACAATGGGTTGGCTATGTTGAGAGAAGAGGCTGGATAAAGTGACTAAGATTGGTGTTGTAGTCACATTCATTCCTCAGCCCCTCCCACCTCAGGGGCTGGAATTACAAACATGGGTCACCTCTCTCACCACCTTTGAATTTGTGATGTACCTCTTTCCTGAATAAAAACCTCTGCTCTTTATTGCATGGTGGCATTTATTAGCATAGTGCATTTCTCAAATTGTTTATTTTAAAGGCCGAGGTTGTCGTCATCCTCAGGAAACTGCCAGGCAGAACTATGTGGATCTGGTATTCAGTTTGAGTCCTTCATCTGAAGCCTCTAACCAGGGAAAGCGTGGAGCTGATGTCCAGGAGTCTAAGAACATTGTGGTAACCTCTGAAGATGGCATCACGAAGGTCATGCTCCACTGGCCCACCAAAAAGAACGCCATAACATTGGAGGTGATGCTCTGCCCTGGGCACGGACACATTTCTCTTTTATTTCTTTCATTTATGCAACTGTAGAATTTCAGCATTATTCCTTTATTTTTTGTAGAAGGAGGTTAGAGAATTTCCTTAACTTAGTGGAATTGGGCATTGTTTAGAAGTTGTGAGTTTCCAGGAGATTCTACATATCTGAAAGTCAATGAAGCTTTTCTGTGAATGAAAGCACAAGTCAGTTAAAACCACTCCGATGGAAACCAGTGCTATCATTTGGTTTCTATAACCTAGCAAGTCTCACTAGTCCCTAGCTGCTGGAACTCTAGGTTATTTTTGGATTTTGTTATTGTAAACACAGATGTGATGACAGTTGTCTTAGTGATCATACCAGAATTATAGTCCAATAGTAGTTTCTTCTGATGCCTTCTCCTTAGGAGGTACCAAAGTTTCCTGGTTAACCACTGAAGAGATTCCCTGGGGTTTTATTCACTTCACAAACAAATACTGTATTGAGCAAGGGATTCATGTTCATCCCTATTAAAGTACCCAATACTATGCTGACTTCTATGATGAATACTAGTCTTAAATAGAACTAGTGTATAAAAATGCTAGTAGCTTCTCTGTCAGTAAATGCAACATTTCCATGTGAGTTTTAAATTTGTTCCAATGAATGTTTGCATGCTCACAGTGTGTAGATGCTCTGTTAATACACATTAAACATATACACATTTTACACAATAGATACTGTAGCCCTCTGAAGTCATATTAGGTTTACACATAGAAGAAAATGTCACAGGGAAGGTAAAAGACTGTCCCACAACCTTTACTCAGTCCATTGCTAGAGCCTCAGGCCTTAACTGCATCCACCATTCTGTCTCTGGAAATTAGCATTGTAATAACTGTTCCTTGACAAGTTTGCATGTACCTGTTTATGGCAACTTAACTGTGGCTGCTTCTCTGATTATATTCTTGTAGCTATGTTGTCTGATTATATTTTCGAAGTAAGTTTTCTTGACCAAAGTGTCTGGGGTGAAAAGAAAAGTGACATTAATGAGAGCATTTTACGTTTTTATTTATATGCTGCATGTATCATATATTCTCACAAATATGCATTAAAATAACTACTATGTCTTACTATTGAAAATTAAGTCTATGTATGTCTACTTATATCGGTAATTCCCTTCAAACCTATTATTCATCAAAAAATACAAAAATAGATGGATGTATTGGCTTACACCTGTCATCCCTGTCACTAGGATAGCTGAGGCAGGAAGATTGTCATGAGTCGAAGTCAGCCTATCTAGACTATAGCATAAGACCCTGTCTCACAGTTTTTTCAAGTATAGAAAAAAAGGGCATGCTTATAAAGCCACCAATCAAGAATCCAATGTAAAAATTGGCAGTGGGGAGAAATAAATAACACACAAGAAATGAAACATAATGGCTCTTTAAAGCATGTATGAGAGAGAGAGAGAGAGATATCTCTGAGGAATGGGTAAGATAGCTCTTCAAGCAAAGGCTTTTGTCACTGGATATGATGACCTAAGTTCTTTAACATAGTGTCCTCTGGCTTTCACACCCTGCAACACACAGAGAGAGGTTGGGGGAGATGTCATAAATTTGAAATGGATGGAGGTATGAGCATAATCCTGTAGATCTCTAATTCTTGCCCCAAGGCACTTCCCAAAACTTCCCACAGATGTCCTGGAGCCATAGAGATAGCCCATTGCTTAACAAGGCTTTGTTAACCCCTGCACTCCCTGGTAAAATCTCCTGCTCATGGCATATCAAAGCTCCTTGCTCCTAACAGCCCCTGCCTCACTTCTCAGCATCTCCAGTCTAACAACCTCCACCCCATGGCCAATGCCACATTCCTCAATATAAGCCTGTACAAAACTCTCAGTAAATGCAGCTTGATCAGTCATGTTGTCTTGCTATTGCCTCTCTCGTGTCTCTGGTCTCATTCATTCAGATTCCCGTGGGCTCGAACCCAGTTGTGCCCTGTTGCACAGGACAATCTTTGGACATGTAGTAAATAGAAGTCCACCCTGAGTTCCATGAGAGCCTCTCCTACACCATCCTTTACCAATGCCTCTCCACACACAGAAATAAAAGCCAGCTGGGAGTGATAGCTCATGCCTGAAATCCCATCACTCTTCTGGGAAGTGAGGCAAGAGAACCACTTTAAGCTTGAGGCCAGATTGTGCTACATAGCAATACCCTTTAATTTTTATTTATTTAAAAGGAAAGATAAGCCACAGACCAGTAAAAATTCTTTGCATGACACTCACTTGTAACCTGGGTCTATATGGAATTCTTACAATTCAAAAATAAGGCAAATAATTTAACTTCAAAAATAGTGGGAAACATGATAGCAATTACTTTACCAAAGATGCTATACACATGGCTATTAAGTATGCAAAAAGATTCTCAACATCATTAATCAGAAAAGCCATATAAATGAAAACCTGAGGCACTACCATGCATGTAGTGTCTCAATTAGGCTACAAGCACTTCTACTGGTGATGCTGAATAAGGCCATGGAGCAGGTGGTGCTCTCCTATCTCAATGTGAGATGCAGCTGTCACAGTCCCTGTGGGGAAGAAGTCAGTACCTTCTTTAAAATAAACATATACTTTTCTCACAACCAGTGATTCCACTCACAGGGAGCTCCCCATGAGAAATGAAAGTTTACACAAATATTCACAACTGCTTTTTTGATATACTTAATTGGAAAAGGATTTGTTTTTTGGCTTCATTGAGGTATTATTGAAAAGTGGGAATGGTGTGTATTATATCAAGTAGGTCTATTGTTCTTGACTGAACCTATTGATAATAGACACAACACTGGAAACAGTGCATGTCGATCAAAAAATGATGACACAACCACATAGTAACTGCAACAATAACAACCAAGAGGCTACAAATATGCAGTGTAAGGGCGATTCCCAAGCCTTACACTAAGAGATGGGGAGCAAGATTGTATGTAGGATTCCATGTGTATAATCTGCTTAAGAAGGCAAGATGTCAGGGACAGAGAGCAGATGATGATACATAGGGAAGACGGATGGAAGGGATTGCCCACAGGGGCCATAAGGGGACCTTCAGGGTAGTATAAATGTATTGGAGTTGATGATGGCTATATAATTTTCTCTTTGTAAAAATCCATTTGATAACACACTATAAGTGTGCATTACAGAATAACACATAATATTAGTTTAAATATCTTCATTCACAATAGTGAACTACCACAGATAAGAGCATAGGTTGTTCTTCCAGAAGATCTGGGTTCAATTCTCAGCACTCACATGGTGCCTCACAACCATCTGTAATTCCAGTCACAGGAGATATGACACCTTCTTCTGCCTCCATGGTCACTGAATATATGTGGTACACAGAAATACATGCAGGCAAAACAGCCAAACACATAAAATAAAAATAAAATGAAGAGTAAGAAAAGAAAGAGATGGGCATAGTAAAACATGCCTGTAATTTTAGCACTCGAGAGAGAAACTTATAAAGTTAAAATAAAATAGTATTGCAAACATGCTTATTTTTCTTCCTCTATGACAACTAGGCAACATTTCATACTCCATTCAGCCATCTTGGCCAGAGCCCAGAAGCGTGTTCTTCATACACATTTCCGAAGATAATGGGCTCAGCAAAGGTAACTTAGAAAAAGCTTAAAGTGTAGTGTGCCATCTTTGTTGCCAGGGCCATCCTGTACTCTGTCCTCTTTCCCTTGGGCAAAGCTTGCAGAATGGTTATTTGCTCTGCAACATGGAAGAACCAGCTAAGGGGAGATCTGATATAAGGGAAGGGTTATGACATTTTCTCTGCAATTCCTAATGGAGGGACAGTGTGTGACAGCAGGAGGCCTTGAGCTGGATCATTGGTGGCAGCACAAGACCTTGTCCTACACAGCTGTGTGACATTCCTTGAAGGTCCAGGACTAGAAAGCCTTTACAGATGTGATCAGGTCAAAGCCCCTAACTGTGTGGATGAGCAACTTCCTCTGAAATGACAGGGTGACATCCTCTCTTGAGGACCATGTGAAGTGCCAGAAGTTGCAGGCTCTTAGCAGCCCTGTACAGTCATAGTCCCTGTGACTCCCAGTCAGAGCTGTCTTTCAGCAGTTGCTCTGCTGTGTGCTGAGACTCCCAAGGTGGCCCACTGGCTGCTCAGGTCTAGCTCTGTACTGGTGCAAATCTAGTTGTCTGTCCTCTGTGGAGTGGCTCCAAGGACACTGAAACAGGACTGGAGAGGGGGGACTGAGGGAAGGCTTAGCAGGCATTGGTTACCATCTCCAAGTGTGTATGGGGGGGATACTGCTTACTGACTATTAGACTTTTTGTTGTAAATGCCCCACACATGCACACATATATAATATATATCTATCTATATAGTATAAGATTTATCTTTAATTTCATGTAAAACAATATTTTGCCCACATGTGTGTCTGTGCACTCACTGCACATTTATGGCTCACAGAGGCTAGAAGATGATACTTGATTCCCTGGATTAGGTAAGGTATAAGCCACCATTTCAGTTCTGGTAGTCTAACCTGGATCCTTTACAGGAGTAGAAAGTGATGTTAATGGATGAACCATGTCTCAATCACCAACATACGCTTCTTTAACTTCATTCTATTGTCATCACAGAGCCCAACTTACTAACAGTCAAGCTTTGAAAAGTTAAATAGAACCAGCTCTTCAGACTTGGATTATTTGGAATGTCTTTCCTTTTTTAAAAGAGAAATTGTGACCATGGAGAGAGCATTTTCTCATTGGCCCCAGATTTTATAGAAATGCAATGTGAGTCATTCCTGTGTCCCTTCAGTCACATAAAAGTAATTTGAGTGCCTGTGCGGGGGAAGGAGATGCTCAGAGCTCAACACTAGCACAACCAGCCAGACAAGGGAATTTTGAATGTTTTGAAAGATTGGTCCTGAGGCCATAGTTTGTCTGTGCCACCCCTCCTTGTTATCATTTCCATATAAACAAAAAACCACAGCTACCAGGGATTCAGGCCATTTCTGTCCTAGGCCTCCATACTTGCCTACCAGACACAGACCCTCATAGAAGAGGCTGCCATTCTAGGTTCTAGAAACACAGAAACAGTTACAGTCTCAGCTGTTTGAAAAGCCTTGCCCAGGGAGGCCATCACCTTCCCCATTCCTGTGAAAGACAGACAACCTAAGAGCCATGAGTGCATCTGTGTCTCTTGAAGCTGGCTGTTCTGATGTTGACTGAGGCCTTGCTTTATTAATCTAGGGTCACATCTCCCTTTGCATTGCAGGCAACTGAGATGCTTCTCTTTGGGAAGAAACTCACAGCAAGAGAGGCTTGGGCTCAAGGCCTTGTCTCTGAAGTTTTTCCTGACAGCATTTTTGAGAAAGAAGTCTGTACCAGGCTGAAAGCATGTGCAAAACTCCCACCAAATGTCAGTATTTGATTTTTTTACTTGTGGGGACTTGGAAATCATTTCCCAGGGGGAAAATGTGCCTTTGTAGAACACATCCTAAAAAGACATGTCTTTAGTACCTCTAAATTTTGTACTAAAAGTTACTATAGGAGCTGGAGAGATGGCTCAGAGGTTAAGAGCACTGACTGCTCTTCCAAAGGTACTGAGTTCAATTTCCAGCAACCACATGGTGGCTCACAAACATCTATAATGAGATCTGGTGCCCTCTTCGGGCCTGCAGACATACATGCAGGCAGAATACTGTATGTATAAAATAAATAAATCTTTAAAAAAAAGTTACTATAATGGTGAGAATAGTGATTTTTTTAAAAAAAGAACTTACGAGATAGACATTTCATTTCTGTGCTACAAGGGCAAATGGGAGATCCTTCATGGGGATGACTCAGGAGGGTGCCAGTAGACACCCAGGTCTTTCACTTTGGAATTCAGTTGGGAGGTGAGGAGGTTGGCCATGTTTGGGAACCCTCACTCTATAGCACCCTGGATTGTATAGGTAGTAGCTATCAGCTGATTGCTCTTACATCCTTGATGTTGAGTGTATGATCCTGGAACCAGAACCTTTTGTATCCATCTCAGGATGTTTAGAAATGTGCAATAACAAACCTATTGCCCACACTCATTTTATTGATCTCTGCACATTCAGGATTGGGAAGCAACCCTAAAATCTTAGAAAGATTTAACAGGATTAAAGGAGAGGCTTGCTGCTATTCCAGAGAATCCAGGTTTAATTTCTAGCACCCACGTATTGGCTGACCATCTTTAACTCCAATCCAAGGGGATCCATTACCCTCTTCTGGCCACTGTAGGCATGCACATGGCACATAGATATACAAGCAGACAAAACACGCATACACACAATTTTAAAAAATAGAAATAGCCAGGAATAGTGGTGTACTCCTTTAATCCCAACATTCAAGAAGCTGAGGAAGGTGGATCTCTATGAGTCTGTGGCCAGCCTAGTCTATATAGTGTGTTCCATTGCCTCAAAACAAATAAAGGAATAGTGTAATATTATTCCTGTTTGAATAACTTTTATTGTTGGTTTCATTTTACCAAGAGATGAAAATTTCCAAAGAGCTGATGAGAAAAAATGAAAAACAAAAGCTCCGTGCTGCTACTCCTGAAGAGAGCACTAGCATCCAGGAAAGGCTGACATCAGAAGAATGCACACATACACTCAGGAACTTTGAAACGCAAAGCTGTGAAGACCACTACAGCAGGTAGAGCTCTTCTAGTTCTGGTTCCAGTTACTTGAACTACACACACTTCCCTGTGTCTTTTTCTTCACTAACATAGCAGTTATGATGAGAATGCCTCAGTCATGACAAATAAAACCTTCCATAACACAAACCTTAAGAATTTATGTAGGATATCTAGAAATAAACATAACCTGCCAGGTGGTGGTGGTGCATGCCTTTAATCCCAGCACTCGGGAGGCAGAGGCAGGCAGATCTCTGTGAATTAGAGACCATTCTGGTCTACAAGAGCTGGTTCCAGGACAGCCTCCAAAGCCACAGAGAAACCCTGTCTCAAAAACCCTAAATGAATAAATAAACCTAACCCATGAGGTGATAGATCTCTACAATGAAAACTTTAAATTTCTGAACAATGAGATAGAGAAAAATGTTAGAAAATGGAAAGGCAATGAATTGGTAGAATTAGTATTTCAAGAATGACTTCTACCAAAAGCCATTTATAAGTTCAGTGTTATCACAGTCAAAATTCCCATTAACTACTCATAGAAATAGAGAAAACTATTCTAAAGTCCATATGAATTCACAAAAGGCTTCAGTATAGCCAAAATAAGCCTGAGTAAAGAGAGAAATGCTGTAAGAATTACCATTTCAGACCTCAAAATATATCACAAAGCCAAAGTAATGAAAATATGATACTGACACAAAAAAGTATGCCAATGCAGCAAAATCAAAGACCTAAACATAAGTATAGGTAATTTTAGTTATCTTTGACAAATGTGCCAAAAACATCCAACACTGAAGAAAAGACAGCATCTTCAACAAATGGTGCTGGGAAAACTGGATGTCCACTTGTAGAAGAATGAAATTAAATCTATACCTATCACTTTGCACAAAACTAACTCCAAGTGGACCAAAGACCTAAATGTGGAACCTGAAACACTGAAAGTGTTAGAGGTAAACATATGTAGTGCCATGCATGATATATGTGTAGGAAAGGACTTTTTGGATAAGACCCTATTTGCCTAGGAATTGAGATCAACAATTGACAAATGAGACCTCATAAAACTAGTTCAAACTAGTTTTCCAAAAATCAGTGTGGAAAACCCTCAAAACATTAAAAATAAATCTGTCATGTTTCAGCTTTAGCACTCTCCAGCATATGCCCAAAGGACTCCACATCCTATTCCACAGATACTCAGCCGTGTTTACTGCTGCTCTGTTCACAATGGCCAGGAAATGGGAACAACCTATCTTAGTTACTTTTTAATTGCTATGAAGGACACCATGACTAGAGCAAGTTATAAAAGAATCTAATTGGAGGCTTGCTTACAGTTTCAGGGTGAGGCCATGATAATCATGGTGGGCAGCGTGGCAACAGATAGACAGGCATTATGCTGTAGCTGTAGCTAAGAGGTTATATCCTGATCTGCAAGTTGGGGTTGCAGAGAGAGAGAGACAGAGATTGGACCTGCCATGGCATTTGAAACCTCAAAGCCCATGCCCAACAAGGTCACACTTTCTAATCTTCAAAACAGTTCCACAAAATGTGGACCAGTTATTCAAGTATATGAGCCCTTATGAGCCATTATCATCCAAACCACAAAACAATCTAAATGTCCTTTAACTAGCAGTGGATAATGAAAATGTGGAATACTATTCATCCATAAAGAAAAATGAAATCATGAACTTTTTGGGCAATTTAATGCAACTAGAAATGGTCATTTAGTGAGGTAGCCCAGACTTAGACAGACAAACATTGTGTGTTCTTCTAATCTGTGGTTCCTAGCTCTAAGTCTTCAGATATGAGTGTATAACCTAGAGTAACCATAGAAACCAGGAAAGAGAAAAGGGGCTACAGAGGGAGCAATAGGAGCCTATTAGCTACAAGTGATTTGAATGGGAAAATGAAAAGGAGGGTGCTCTAATTAGGAAGGGGGAGGAAGATAAATAACAAAGAAGGAGAGAGGAGAATGAAAACAGGATGTCTGAAAAAGCCATAAAGAATCATACTATTACCTTACTACCTAAAAATACATATAATACATGTGAGTTTAGGTATACATACATAGCTTAAAAGAAAATTTCCTGTCTGAGCTAGCAGTTTATGCTCCTCCAAAGAGTCACAAACTATTTAATAAAATCCCCAAAAGTAATCATAAGTAACCTCCTCTTGAGACGTCCAAAAGCCACCCAAAATGTTATACACTGTTGCAGTTGCCCTTGGTAGTTTCTCAGAAGTAGAATATGAGTCCCTGTTGCTGAAGACATCATGCACTTCAGACACAGGGCATGGAGGATCCAAGCTGCATATGACCTGAATGCTGCCTCCCTGAGGACCAGTGAACATGGTACCAGAGGTGCCAAGAAAGTTTCTAAGAGATGGGAGCAAACAATATTCATACTCAGCTATGATACCTATGAACTATGAGTAGCATGACATGATAACACCAGGAGTACAGTTGTAGAGATACCTTGGCATTAATCAACAGTTTTCTGATTGGACTTAGTGCCCACTCAACAAGAAAAAAATCCATGACTGGTACTGGAAACCTAGCCATCTACGCAGGGCTAGTGAAGTCATAGATCTTGGAGGTGAACCTACAAGTGCCAGTTTATCAATTAGTATAACTCCTAAGAACATTCTAAGTACTTACACTTACACTCATAGATACATGCAGCTCTCACAACTTATCAAAGCTGTCTTTGCAACAGACAGACACCATCACAGAAAACCACAACTGATCAAGATGTAGAGAACAAGAGGTCATGTGGTACTTAGTAAGTAATATTCCCTACTGCTGAAGTGACAGATCCACAAACAATTCCTGTATTTAAACTTTAGGGATAGTTGCAGAAGAGGGGGTTGAAAGACTGTAAAGGACAGAGGAAAAAAGTTTGCTGTGAGATTGTGCCTCCTAAAAATGACAGAGAGGCTACATCCATGAAGTTTCATCAACACAGCTGCCTAAACAAGACATGAACACAAATGGGCATGCTAAGATAGAAGGAGAAAAGGTTATGGAACCTCAACCCGAGACAGAACTATAGGCAACTGGGGAATGTTGAAAGTAGGAGAAATGGTCTTCCTTTCCCAATTGGTTATCCAATATCAAGTGGTCAGCCCTGATATCATATACAAAATGGTAACACTATACAGACTGAGCAGGTTGTAGTTATACATAAGCACACACACTCACTCTCAGGCACACTGTGAGTGTGTGTGTGTGTGTGAGAGAGAGACAGAGAGAGAGAGAACAATTAAAGAAAAGGCTCACGAATTCGAGAGAGGAGGGGGAGGGGCAGTGCAAGGGAAGGATTGGATGAAGGAAAGGGATGGGGAAATTATGTAATTATTTTAAAAACTTTTAAATTATTTTAAAATTAAATCAGGTTTTTGGAAATAAAAAGTCTTACTTTTTTTGACATGAATCGATGCTGCCATGAGCACTGGAACATTGTGCCTGCAGATATGGTATGAAAAGCACTCACAGCCCTACAAGCTGAGCTTGTATCTTTGAACACCACGATGGCACTTTGTCGTCCACAAGGAGTGGCTGAGATAATTGGGCCTAGTGCAGACAGTCTTTGGATCACCGACTTGAAGTCCTCTGCAGGTTTTAAGTTCTTTTTTGCCCACCTGGCAAGGGAGGAAACCAAATAAGAATATTCATTGCCACCTCTCTTCCAACACATACCTACAAGAAGGGGACAAAGGGTCATTTCATTGGAAGAGCAATGCTCCTCGTGGACTTTACAATCTTTATTTTTTGTTTGTTTGTTTAGTACATTGGGGCTTTACCTGTATGTATGTCTGTGTGATGGTGTCAGGTCCCCTAAAACTGAAGTTACAGTTATGAGCTGCCACAGAGGTGCTGGGAATTGAACCCTGGTCCTCTGAAAGGACAGCCAATGCTCTTAACTGCTGAGCCATATCTAAGGTCCCTGCAATCCTCATTCTTTAGTATGGTGTTTTGTTGGGCACTTGTTAGCTGTCTAACCTTCTAACTTGACAAGGCCTTTGACGAACTATTTGAAACCCACAAAATTGACATGGAGTTTTTTTCTTTTTAACAAAGTTTCTGATGGAAACCATAACAGAAAACTGCAACTGACAAAAATGTAGTGTGCGGAGGAGCACAGTCCCAAATGACATACCTCCATTAAATGTCCTGCACCTGAGGCTCAAGGGTCATCACAGAAGAGGGACAGAAAGATTGTAAGGACCAGAGAAACAGGAAATTTGCTGTGAGATTGTCTCCCCTTGAAATGTCAGAAAATACATATACCCATGAAGTTTCACCAACATGGTTGCCTAAACATCTGAACAAGGACACCACCATAGACATCCTAACATGGAAGAGGAAAGCCCAAGAGGTCTCAACCCTAGACAAAGAACTACAGGAACCAGGAATGCTGAACACACAGGGTTGTCTCTTCAAAGGGAGAGATATAACCTGTTTTATGACCAGAGGCTAGGAGTGGATGTATTTAATACCTTGTGATATCTGTGTGGCCTAGACTACACCAGATCCTCCCCCAGACCCTTATCTTGGCTTGATTGTCTCAGTCAATTTATAGCATCTACCTTTATGGAAGATGCCACTTGCACTTTACAAAGAGTGCCGATATAGTCATGTCTTAAGCTTTGTTGTGCACATAGGATTGCAATAATTATCACTGGGAAACGTCTTCCTCCAAATTGTGCTATGCTTAAATATGTCTAAAATAAACTACCTGGTGTCAGACTCCTGAAGTTTGAACGAATCCCTGTTACTTAGTCATGTTGAACCGAAGTGTCTTCTTGCCTCCCCTAGATGGTTGCTCTGCTGACTGTGGTGGTTGAGAGACCCCTGCATTTCTTGAGATCTTTTTCTTGAGGTCTGATCTTTGGAGACTACTTCACTTTTCTGTATTTTTGTTCCCCAGAAAATTTTGGGGAATAAACTTCAAGTTTATTTTCTTAGGGTGTGGGCTCCATTTCTAGGTGGATGGGTGTTTTGCCTATATGTATGTCTGGAATGTTAGAGGATGGCATGGGATCCCCTGAAACTGGAATTATAAGTAATTGTAACATGTGGGTGCTGGGATCTGAAGTTGGGTCCTCTGCAAGAGCATATCCTGCTTTTAACCAATGGGCAATCTCTCCAGACTTCTAATAGTGCACTAGGTAGTCCCACTCCTTTGGCACAGACACTATACACACCCTCTCTGAACAATACATCTAGAAACCTTGGACCCCCCTACCTGCATTGTGCTACATGTACACTTCTCCTCTAAACAATAGAATAGGTTTCTCCTCCCCTAACAACAATCAAACTTAGCCTCTATCCAAATATATTCCCAATGTATTTAGTTACAAAGGAAGTATAGGCTGGTCCAGCCTGAATTAGTTTTGGTTGTGTGTGCAGCAAGGCAAAATGTACCCTCAAGTAAATTTATAGACAGAATCTCCTATTTATTATCCAATGCATATGTATAATTAGGTGTGTATGTAATTAAAATCAGATGCACTATAGGAAGGGACATGTGCAGTAGAAAAATTATTTTATGACCTAATCTACCAGTCATAATAGAAAAACTTGGCATATCCCTTAGTATTCAAACTCCCCCTTCTCTTCAACCCTGAAGAGGAAGAGATGCAAATAATAACTGAGGCCCTTGACTATCTTCACTTGCGGCCTATTTCTCGTGTGTGTGTGGTGTGTGTGTGTGTGTGTGTGTGTGTGTGTGTGTGTGTGTGTGTGTATTGCTCTTTTATGGTGTGTTCTGACCTATTCTATAGCCTTTATTTCAATTTCTTGAATAAGAGACCAACAACCTAGAAACACATGCCCCAGGCCCCAACCCCTGTAACATTCTACCAGGGCTTTAGCTACTCCTCATCCCAGCATCATACCCAGCAACTATGTACAAGAAAAGGACAACATGGTAACAAATTCTTGCCTTCTTTATTTAAGCAATACTCAGTTCCCACTATTAGATAATTCTTCTTGATCTGTTAATTTCCATGGTAAGACCATTCTTCTTAGACTATAAAATAAACTCCATTTAAGCTGAGTTTATAGAATGGGATAGGATTCCCTACAGAAATAGAGAATGGCATCTGTCTACATTTGTATCTAGTATCTTAACATAGATACACACAATCATCAACTAACGACAGTCCATGATGGACCACAATAATACTAAGATCACTTTGGAACTGAAAAGTTCCTAGTGAGATTTTTTTTTAGTCATTCTAAAGTTGAAATGAAGTGCACCAAGAATATGTGAGTTTGTGTTGAGATATGTGCCAATAAGCCTACTATGCAACCAGTGATACATAGCACAATGATATATTGTTATAAATACATACATTTCCAATACTTTTATCATGATTCTAGAGTATACTTCTACTTACTAAAAAGCATTACTGTAAATCTGCAGCTATGTAACACCAGTAGCAGCCTCATCATATTGTGTTTCCCACCTCTTTCTGGGCAGGGTGCTAAGTATACTAAGTATATTAACTGCTTTGTGGTATTTTCATTTGAGCATATAATCACTTTGATCATGTTCACTTTTTTTGTCTTTTGAGATAGGCTCTCACTATGTAACCCTGATTGCCCTAGAACTTGCTATGTCTCAAACTCACAGAGATTCACCTGCCTGTGCCTTCCAAGTATGGGGATAAAGATGTGCACCACTACACCTGTGATGCGGAAGTCCTGTGTATATGTCAATAAAGCACTATTGGCCAATAGGAGGACTCTGGGTAGGAGAAACACAGGGAGTCATCATGTAGCCCGCCAGAGAAGTAAAATGTCCGTCCAGTAAGAGAAATACTTAAATGGGTTAAATACTTAAGTCAGAGCTAGCCAGTAAGAAACAAGCAAGGCCAACAGCATCATAATTAATACAGCGTCTTGTGTGTTATTTGGGGACTACAACAAGGCAGAGCCCAGGAGACTGGTGGGAGAAAACAAAGCGGCTGGCAAGAAAAAGGCATCACTCTACACACCTGGCAATGTTCCCCTCCTTTATTTCTCTTTTTCATCCCCTGCCTAGATTCTCTTGTATTCAGTATAGTCCCCTTTTTACTTTTGGGCCTCTTTCTGGCCAATTTCACATATAAAAGAAGATATGTATGCTGGTTAGTATTATTGTCACCTCAATTAGACACGATTCAGAATCACCTGGAAAGAGAGAACCTCAATCACCTAGATCAGATTGTCCTGTGGGCATACCTATGATTGCCTTATTAATTGGTATAGGAGAGTACAGACCGCTGAGAGCAGACAGGCCTGGTCTATATAGGAATGGTAGCTAAATATGAGCCTGAGAAGGAGCAAACCAGAGATCAAGACAGCAAGCAGCACATTTCTATAGCTGTTGTCTCTAGATTTCTGCCTTGAATTCCTTCCTGACCTCACTCAGTGATTGATAATGACCTGCAAGTATAAGCTAAATAAATCTCTCCCCAAGTTGCTTATTGTCAGAATGTTTTATCATAACAACAGAACATGAAATTCTGCACCTGGCTTGTTTTGCTTAACATGATGATCTCCTGTTCCATCCACTTCCTGCAAACAACATAATTTTAAGCTTTACAACTGAGTAAAAGTCCATTGTACATTGTATATATTCAACACATTCTCACACTTCCATCCATTGATGGGCCCCTGGCCCAAACATGAAGGAGGCACTTGTATCCTGACTTAGATTCATTTGTTACCACCTCTTTGATTACATCAAGGGACCACATCCAGAGGTTGACACACCATCTGGGCTTATGTAACTGTGGTATTTGCATAATGATGAGATTGATTTCCTGTAACCCAGTGCATTTCTCAGAATGTGTCCATAGGGTTTAGCAGCAAATGGCCATAAATGAGAATAGAACTGGTTTGTGAGATTATTGAGGCTGACAGGTTGGGCATTTGTGGTGTTAGTGAGAACACTGAAAATCCATCAGGAGTTATCTTTGCAGTCTAGAAACCAAAGGTTAACCTGAGGCTAGAATTCCTCCCCCTTTATGGCATCTTAGTCTTTTCTATTAATGTTTTAAATTGATGGAATGACAGGCCTACCACACTGTTTTACTCAATACTACTAATTTAAATGTAAATATCATCTGAAAAAATACTTTCATACTAACATCTGGGCAGGTGCTCAGACAACTGGTACTATAGATCCACCAAGCTGTCATGTATATTTAATCATTCTGTAGCCTGGTTACAGCATCCTATAGTCTAACTTAGAATGCTGAAAAAGAAGGATTGTTGAGGCCAGGAGTTTGAGGCTAGCCTGAACAACACAGTAAGACTGCATCTCAAACAACTAATAACCAGCAGGTAGCCTGATAGTGAGATTTCGTTTTATAGATGAACTCAGGGACCTTGATGAATCAACACTGATGACAGAGTAGATGATAAGTGCAACCCTTTCAGATTTGACCCTAATCTTGGTTCTGATATATCAGCAGAGATGTTAGAAGGCACTCTCCTGGACCCAAGGTTCTGCCTAGAATTTTCACAGCTCTGAGGGCCTATGGGTACTACCCCATTTGGAGACAATTACAAATCGAGAAGTAAAGAGACATAGGAACCTTTCATTGACTAACGTCACTTACAACACAGTGAGTATGACAGACATGGATGGGTGCCCATTGCCTTTCTGGGCATGCAAAGTTTAACTCCAAGTGTGTCTACAGCACAGGAGGAGCAGAATGGATCCTACTGTCTACTACCAGGCTCTTGTCTCTGGCTACTACTGTGTTGTTTTAATAAAAAAAAATCAGAATCTAAACTAAAGTCCCTGTGTGGATCATTCAGCCATCTTTTCTGTTCAAGACTGCTTTGCCACACTTTCCAAAAGAAAAATGAGGCCCAGAGCCCATGAATATGACATATTGAGCCAATAAATGTGGTTTACAATTATAATTTACACCCTGTTTACAGAAAGGATTTACAATATTATAAAAAGTGGGATCTGGCACCCTGCCAAGTTCTCCAACAGGGATAATATACCACCATCTGGATTCTAGATGCTTGGAAATCTGTTTTTCAGCATGGCATGGCTTTGGGGACTATTGATTTATTTACATAACAGAATGGAAGAATTTTTGTCAAAAGCCAATGTGATGTAGCATCTGACCCAATGACTACTATCACTATGCACTATGACTTGACTGTGTTCCCCAGAAAGTCATAAATCAGAACCTAATTCTCTATGCCATGGCAGTGGGAGCTTTAATAAGAGGGATTAATACTCATCTGATAGGACTATGTTAACTCTCATTCTAACAGGGCGAAATTAGTTTCATTACAGGTTGGGAAGGTATCTCCACCAATAAAGTGTTTGCTGTGCAAGCATGGAGACCCAAGTTAAATCCCCAGCACCCACATAAAAACTGGGTGTGGCAAACACCTATAATCCCAGTGCTGGGAAGGTGGAGACTGGCAGGTTCCAGAACTCACTGGTCAGCCAGTCTAGCTCACTTAGTGAATTACAGGTTTGTGAGAGACTGTCTCAAAAAAAAAAAAGCTACAGAGGGAGTGAGGAGGACATCTGACATTGGCCTCTGGTTTACACACCACCCTCCCCCCCCACACACAGATAGAAGGTTGTTACAAAGAAAGGCTATCCTGTTTGTGGCTACCTGCATGCTTTCTCCTCTCTCTCTCTCTCTCTCTCTCTCTCTCTCTCTCTCTCTCTCTCTCTCTCTCTCTCTCTCTCTCTCTCTCTCTCTCTCTCTCTCTCTCTCCCTCTTTCTCTCTCTCCTCTCTCTCCCCCTCCCTCCTACCCTTCCTCTCTCTCTCTCTCTCTCTCTCCCTCTCTCTCTCTCTCCTCTCTCTCTCTCTCTCTCTCTCTCTCCTCTCTCTGCCCCTCCCTCCTACCCTTCCTCTCTCTCTCCCCCTCCCTCCTACCCTTCCTCTCTCTCTCTCTCTCCTCTCTCTCTCTCTCTCTCTCTCTCTCTCTCCCTCTTTCTCTCTCTCCTCTCTCTCCCCCTCCCTCCTACCCTTCCTCTCTCTCTCTTTCTCTCTCTTTCTCTCTCTTCCTCTCTCTCTTTCCCTCTCTCTGTCTCTCTGTCTCTTTCCTGTGCCCCCACTTTTCCTTCCAACTTTTGATATGTTTTAAAGTAGTACCAGGCTCCTATCTTGGATTTTTTTATCATCTAGAACCATGGACCTAACCGGAGTTCTTTTCTTTATAAGTTATCCAGTCTCAATTACTCCTTAACGGCAATATAAAATGGATTAAGTTCTTTTTTAGGGAAAGGCTTTACCCTCTCTTTGCAAGTGAAGATACAGATTCTAAGTACTAAACATGTTTGCCAGTGTTAAATTCAAGGTTCAAGGTTCCTATGGTTGGCTCAGTCTAATATTTACACACATTAAAGTATACATTCTCACTGCAAGTTATATGTATCAAAACTCAAAATTGCACTTGCCATTTTTTCCCAGCATAGAGTCACCACTTGGGATCTTATCAATCTCATTTTACAGATGAACAAGGACAAGAGAGTCAGCACTGCTACAAGCAACATTTAGACAAAGATGTTGTTCTTCTTGATAATGTTCTTCAGGGACATCTAGGCTTGCCTTCAACAATGGATGCTCTCAAGGGTACCATTAAGTCACAAGAGAGTAAGAATGGGAGTTGTCCAGTGTCTAGACGGTCATGTTACAAGAAGATAGGGCAAGAATCACAGGCAATACAGCAGATTCCCTCTGGCAGCCAGTCATGGCAGCCAGAAAAGGATTCAGGATAGAATCCTTATGAAGTAGCTCCCATCATTAGTAAGACTTTCTTGCATCCCTTGCAAGTTGATTTACATCACAATCTGGTTCTTTTTCTACTTCTCCCAATGCTACCCTCATGCCCCCTTTGATGTAGTCTATCACCAGCTACTCTTTTGTGCTCTTGTTTCTGTATGAGTTCTTGCTTCTCAGAGACCCTAAACAAGCAAAAAAAAAAAAACTCACAAATGAGCAAAGCAGACTGTATGTTTATGGAGAGCAGATGTGTGTTTGTAGAAAGAAATGTGTGAAGATAGACGTCCCCCCTTGGATGTTGATATTCAAGGCATATTTTCATAGATCATGCTAGGATGTTAAGTAAGACAGGTCACTTCATATGAAGGCATCATACCCCAAAACGTCTTCTATGATGTTGAAATTTAGTTTTAAAAAAAATAGGCCATCAAACCTGGTCACATCATCTCAATTTGAATATCTTGAAATAATTTTACCCTTTAAAAGTTCAGTGTTGGGCTGGAGAGATGGCTCAGTGGTTAAGAGCATTGACTGCTCTTTCCAGAGGTCCTGAGTTCAATTCCCAGCAACCACATGGTGACTCACAGCCATCTGTAATGAGATCTGGTTCCCTCTTATGTTATGCAAGGGTACACGCAGGCAGAATACTGTATACATAATAAATAAATAAATCTTTAAAAAAAAAGTTCAGTGTCACTGCATTATCCTGAAAATGTCATGGTTCTAATGACCACTGTCCCCTTATAACTTTGATTTCTTTAGCTATGTGGTTTTGTTTTTTGAGATTATAATTTAATTATTTCTCTCTTGCTTTTCCTCCCTCTAAATCCTCCTATCTACCCCTTCCCATTCTTCTTTAAACCCATGGCCTCTTTTTTCACTAATTGTTATTGGATGCATATATGTATATGTAGGTACATATGTGTTCCTAAATGTAATCTGTTCCATCTGTATGCTTTCAGGACTGGCCCATTTGGCATTGGACAACCAGCTGGTGTGCTCCTCCATGGAGAAGGCCACTTCTCCTACTCTCAGCTTTCCTCCATTGCCTATAGTTCTTTGCATTGGGTTGAGGCCTTGTATGCTTTTCTCTGTCCACTTTGGCATGTCCATTTGTGTCATCTTTGTTCAGCTCACATTTCGGCAGCCATGTTGGGGAGACTTTATGGGTATAACTTCTAATATTACTAGGAGACACATTCTCACTAGCTATGGATTTTTAAATCCAGCTGGCAAGGTCTGACCCTAAAGACACTGGGGGACAAGTAGACAAGGAGATTTATTAACTCGGATAATGAGCTCAGAGGAAGCTTCTAGTACAGGCAAATTCATGGGCTTGACCTCTGCATGTTATCATCTTACGATCAGAGAGGCCTTTGCTTTTACCCTGTCTACTGGCTAACAGACTTTTGAATATCTACAATGTGCAAAGCACAGGTGTCAACTTGAATAAAATAGTGATAGGAAAGCAGCAAATAGAATAATGCCATCTGTTGTAAACAGAGACATGTACAAAATAAGGCAGTTTGCTGAGTTGGCAATGCTTAAGACTTGGCACACCATATCCACTTTCTCACCTAGCCTGAGACCAGATATTCCTTATGTGTGTTAACTACAAAAGCTTCCAGTAGGTCTCCAGTTTCTACCCGTTTCCATGAAGGCCAGAGAGTGCTTGAATATCATCTTGTTTCTCGCTTGCAATGGCTCTCTCTTCCTTTCCCAGTGTAAAAATGTGGCAGAGTAGGGATAAAGCCAAATGTCTAGTCCTTGGTCATGCTAATGGTGATACTTAATAGATGATTTCCTCTCCAACAATCCCACTCCAGATCCTGCAGATCTCTGCTCTCTAGACTAGAAGACAGTAGGTGGAGGTGACAGTGACCTTCCCATCTCCATGAGTTTTCTTGCACTTAAGGCTTCTTCAGTACCTTGGGATATGTGAAGTAAAATCTGTGTTCTTGTATACAAGGCAAAGCCCATTTCCATATCCACCATGTTTCACAAAGGCCAAATTAAACTTTTTTTTCTTTTTTTTAGAGTGGAATGAAGAGTTTCTGTGACCATTCTGTGTTTCTTTAAACATGAGCATGAGACAAAAGTCTAAGAACCTACCTGGCAACAATTGTGCACATGGGTGGCTCATACATGTTTTTCTTCCACATGTGACATTTCTTCCAGTTGCAACTTATATTGTTGATGGTTTTTCTTTTCCATGAAGGCATTTTACTTGGCTTTGGAGTCAGACTAACCTCTTTTGGCAACTGACGTCTTGCTAAGATCTTTTCCAAGCCAGAGAATTCACAATTCTCACCTGGTGGTAGAATAAGTATTAATACAATTCAAGTGTTCATTTCCACCTCTGCATAGCAAGATTCTTTCAAGTCTTTGTGGATGTACCTGGTGCTGAGGATGGGAACCATGGCCTCATATGTGTTAGGTATACACTTCCAGCTGTATATGCACAATTTAGTAGTTACTTCTCAGCTCTGCCATCCCTTTATCCCAGCAATATTTCTTACATGTTAGTCTAAGAGACGCACTGGCTAAAATGCATACATTAAGTGTGCTAAGACCACTGAAAACATTGATGGTTCCTTATGTACCATTTGTAAATTAATAGTAAGTTATCATATTATTATTATTATTATTTATTGTGATACATTTAAAAACTTCTCAGGAAATGGAATGAGTAGAGATTATTGTCTTACTCAATATGAAACACCGTCTTCCTGCTATTTTGTGTAAGAACTATTCTGCCTTTGGAGATCCGATAACTGAGACTTGGGATTTAGACCTTTGTTTCCTGCTGTTGGAACTTTTTGGGTGGTCAGCAGCAGTTAGGATGCTAGAATGGTGGAACTCCCCCAAGAGGATGAGGCAACTCCAGAGGTTTACACCTGTTGTCAGAACTGGTGGGCACAACTAAAGAAGAAAGGATTATTTTGGCACATGGTTTAGAGGGTTAGATACATGGTCACTTGATCCCACAAGCTTGGGCAGAATATCATGACTGTAGGAACAAGTGACATATTCCTCTTCCCCTGACTTTCCAAGAGGGAAGAGCTGAGATATGAAAAGACAGAAGCTCAGCATGCCACCATGCCTTCTGCTGCTCCCAAGTCCTAATACACCAGAGCAGAGGAGAGCAGAATGAATTTAAACACAGTAAGAGTGACTTAAGAGTGCTTATATTAGAATTGATATTTCATTAACAATATAACTTCCTCAAAGCTAAGCAATTTGCCTGCAATTCACCTAAAGTTAGCAACAAAAGTCAATAGAATTGATCCAAAGGAAGAGCTAAGGCAGGGCCAGAGTGACAAAGTAGCTGATTTGTGAAGTTCTGTACTAAGCTGCTTAAATTCTGTGTGTGTTTGTTATGTAATATGTAATGTAACCTGGATATATGGGTTTATAGCACTCATAACACACTGGATTATGAAGTAGAGATTAACTTGAATATAACCAAATTTGCTCCAACAGTTAAAAGTGTATCAGTCCCTTTGTTTAAATTGGTGTGGAAGTTTCTATTTTGTCTTCTCAGTTTATGGGCAAGGTGGCTGCCATCAACCAGTATCTTCCAGTTAATCACAAGTAATTCAAGGTTGGAGTTCATTAAGTTCTACAAATCAAATTGTCAACCATCCTGACCCAGTTTTAGCACTACTAGGCCACTCCAAACTGCAGAAAGTAGAGACTTCTCACTGGATGGAGTGGCATGTGCCTGTGGTCTCAGCTACCCAAGAGGTTGAAGCCAGAAACCAGCTTGAGTAACCTAGATTCCATCTCAAAACAGTAATACTAAATACAAAAAATATTAAAATTACTTTATAGTTCTTCCTAGAAAAGGGAAAAGGAAATAGTAGAGCATCAAACAAAGGAAAGAAGTTTATAATCTGGTCCTCACCTTGAAAGTTCTCCTGCTAATCTCAAAATCAAAGCTACATCTTAATTTGTAATGTGAGAGCATTTGGACAGCTCATTTTCATCTTTCCATGGGTGTGTTTTCTTAAGAGATGAATAATAACTCATCTTGGCTCATGGAAGACATGATGACCTCTACCCATGGGTAAATTCACAGTCCATTCTGAGAACACAGGCTTATCAAGCCATGATTTGGCATGGGTCTCATGAATGGACAACACCCACATTGTCAAGAAATTAATGCCCACAGCTGAAAGAAGAGCGTTCATCCTGGCATGCCAATACAAACATTCTCACTCACCCTCTACCCACTTACATTTGATTTTGTCACTTTCACTTCTGTAGGAATGAAGCACTTCCGCCATATGATTTGGGAGCAACTTGTGAAGGTTAGAGAGGAAGTCAAATGTGTGGCACAGGATGTCGGGCTGGGCATAATTTTTTGATGTCTCCTGACCTAAATTTATGAGTGAAGGATTGATGTTGGCTGTTTCCATGATGGCCTGTTAAGTAACAGAGAAAAGCAAGTAGAGCACATGAAACGTGCTGGTGTGTCGTGTGACTGTTCTTTGCTTCAGCTAACTGCCATCTCCAAGAGAAGATGCTGGAACCCGCTTTCTGGTCTCTGACTACTTTGCATTCTGAGTGTCACAATGGTCCAGGTATTGGCCTGGAACCCTCAGAACACGTTCTGCATCTTCAAATCAGAGAAAAGCGACCCATGGAAGGTGTCCTGCCAAATAATTCAGAGATTTTCCACAGAAATTCCAGTTTTCTGTCTGGATATGGATGAGCTCTGAGAAGAAAAAGAGAGTTTTTCCTGGAAGGAAGTCAATTGGTGTGCACATTGCCTGTGCTGTCTTCCTGACCCAGAGGCCTTGTACCTGGTGTATGCATAATTAAGACTCCATAGACCTAGGAGGCCCAAAGAGAGTGGGCACATGAGCATTGCCCCCTGTAGGTCCAAGGAAGAGCTTTATGGTCCTAAACTAAGGAAATGTCCAGAATAATGCAGGTAAGGGGACTGTCTGCTTTTTAATTCTCTTTCCAGATTAAAAAAGAAAACAAACAAATAAAATCTCTTTAGTGCTAGTTTTTCTTCACGGTAGACCAAGGAGCAGAGGATAATGCAAGTACTAAATAACAAGGAGCAACTGAGAAGCAACCAATAACCACTCCCCAGTTTGCAACTAAAATGCAAATAATAGCATGGTTAGAGTTGCCTCTTGGTTTTCAGCCCACTGGCCAGCCAGAGCACCAGTTTTCCCATGATTACTCAACTCTTGTTGAACTGGCTTGCAAGCCACATTGCAAAATGGTGAGAACATGTGCCATATACTCTCAGTAGCAGCTGCTCATGTTGGCCAGCTTTTTAGCCATGTTGCAAAGCGTTGGCCAAAACCTTAAAATAACATCGCTGTACCCTATGGAACATTTGTGTCCAGAGCAGGCAATAAGAGATTCCACTTTTTTGTCCTCAACTTTCAAACTAAAAAAGTGAAGGCTTAAAAACAAAACAAAAACCGTATCAACCCATTTAAAATATGTTATAGAACTAACAAGAACCACTTGAATACAATGCACTTCTCAATATTGCATAAGTATTTTTGGCTGGAGAAAACAATTGATGGAGAAAGGAGGACAGAACATGCTGGCAACTAGAACACACACCCTGACTTCTTTCATCTAAGCATTGGATGCATAACTCTAATCCTTCATTTTCATAAATAGAAAGGGAAGAAACGTATTTTAAATACGCATCTTTATACACTGTAAATTGACCTATACTGTAACAAAATATAAGGGGTCTGTATGTTCGGAAGCACAAGGCCAGAACAAGCAAGGCCAAGAAATAAAAGAATGGAGAAAGACTTACTACCCACAGCAGGCCAGCAGGAGTTATTTCCAAAGCAGTGTCCCCCTAGAGCAAAACGAAACAAAACCAAACACAGGGATTTCATTGGAAAAGTTGATACATACTAATATAGGAAAGCTCTTTAAGAATAGGCACATTCTTCTTCTGTATTTTTAAACTATAAGTGCTTCCACAGTGAACATTTTTGTACTACATTTGACATTAACTCTCAGTTGTTTTATTTGTAAAAATACTTACAGAAATAAAAATTACTTGTTCAAACTAAAAAAAAAAGAATAGGCACATTCTTGAACATGCTCCATTTTAGGTGATAATCTATCTAGGAAGGAAAGATGACAGGCACCTTTACTCAGCTCAAAGTTGTGGAACACATGCTCGAAAGGTTAAAAACAGTCAACAGAAATGCATCTTGGCATACTCACCCTGCCTCGTAAGTTTGGGCTGAAAATAAAGAAAATGGCATGTTGAAGCTGTATTAATATAGGAATTTGCCTTCCTTTAGTGACTAACAATATTTTATTTATTTGGTTTTTTTAGACAGGGTTTGATTATGTAGCCCTGGATGGCCTAGAACTCCATATGTAGACCAGGAAGGATGGCCTCGAACTTGCAGAGATCTGCTTGCCTCTTCCTAATGAATGCTAAGATTAAAGGTGTGCACAACTATGCCTGACTGACAATATGTTCTGAATTGTCACTCTAAGTAGCACTTGATGGAATGTTCATAGTTACCTGAAGCTATGGTCATTGGCTGAAACCATACGCAGGCAGTGATTGCTAAAAGTTATCCTTGAAAACAAATATGAGCTGGAAAGATAACTAAGTAGTTAAGAGCGTTTCATTTGTTGCTCTTGCAGAGGACCCAGGTTTGGGTATCAGCACTCACCCGGCAGTTTACAACCATTTGTAACTCCAGTTCCAGGGGTTCCAACACCTTCTTCTAGCTTCTACAAGCGCCAGGCTAAAACATTCATAAAATAATAAAAATTTTAAAATGGAATAAAACCCTAAACACAGAAAACAATATCAGATGTGGTCAAGGGGCAGAGATGGGAGCTTTAAAATCCCCTTTCATTGTTAGTGGCAATGGAAATGAGGACAAGAGTCATTGAGAAACGCAGTACTGCTGTCCAGCCAGAGCTTTAAAAAAACAGACCTAGTGTACAGCCAACCATCCCACTTCTGGGTAATCCAAAGGAAATAAGATCCTTATGTCAAAGAGACACCTGAGTGCTGTGTTCTTCAGAGCACCGTAACAATAGCCAGCATTAGGGGAATAAGTCTGGCTAGGTGTCCATCAACAGATGAATGGATAAAGGAAGTGTCCATAGGCTGATCCTGGTGGCCTTTAATCCCTGCACACAGGAAGCAGAGGCAGACCTCTGTGAGTTCCAGGCTAGCCTGGTCTACATGGGGAGACCCTGTGTTAAAAAGGAAAAGAACTGCCAAGAAACAAACCATGAGATGGACTGTTTTACAAAAAGTAAGACTTGTAGCAGCCATTGTCTACTGCGGTAGAAAGAACTTTGGGGTGTGAGCTCAGTGAGGCAGGAAGACTGGCCACATACTGCTGACAACTAGCCTGATGATCTTGGTCCAAGCTCCTAGGTAGGGCGCAGCCTGTAATTCTGAGTCTAGGTGCAATGAATGCTTGTGCTTTAAAATCTTATTTCCACTTCTTCTCTCCAATGACCAATACCTTCTCAAACCATGTGTTTGATGAGAGAATTCTGCTGTGCCCATAACCTTTGTCCTGCTGCAGGAGAGGGTGAGTTGCCATTTGGGCCAGTGGCTGTTTAGGCCTTTCTGCCAGCCTTATTAACTAAATTGATCCTGCAGCACAGGGCAGGGCAAGGAGCACCCGGGATTGTTTTTCTTCACTTACAGTTAGCTCTCAGGTAACGGACAAATCCTTTTCTTTTTTGTTGTTGTTTCCAAGAGGGCTCCTGTGTCTCCGGAGCATCTTCCGCTGCCAGCAAGCCACAGCTGTGCGTCTGACAAGGCCAGCTGGCTCCCAGAAGGCAGAGTGTTCAGCAACGTTCAGAGAGAGAAGATCATCTCCAGGTTTCTCAAAGGAAGCGTCCTAAAGAGAGTGTTTGGCTCGCAGCAGCTGAGGTGGGAGGGCCCTAATTGCCAGAAAGTGGATCCCAGCTCCACGTGTCCTAGCTCCAGCAAGTAAGTCCTTATTGAAAAGTAGACCGAAACTCAAAGGAAGGTCATCCCAGATGGCCAGGAAAACAGCTCTGTATTGGCATCTAGAGAACCAGAAGGCTTAGGGGAAACTGCAAACCCAGGGGTTAGGTCCAGCAGTAAGAGCAAAATAAAATAGGAACCACGTGACTGAGAACGTGTTCAAAGCACCAGCTGTGCCACAGGCAGAGGATGTAGGATTCATTGATGTGTGTGCTTCTCTTGCTTGGGGAGATGTTTTTAAATACACCACTACCATCCACAGCAGGAATAAGTAGATTTGAGACAAAATTCTTGTATTTTTTGAATAAAATAGTAGCTTCCCAAATAAGAGTATTGTTAAGGAGGCAAACATTAAAGGCTAATTTTGTTGTTGCTGTTTGTTTTGTTTTGTTTTTTTCCAGACAGGCTATGTGGCTCTGGTTGTCCAGGAACTCACTTGTAGACCCCGCTGGCTTTGACAACACAGAAATCCACCTACCTCTGCCTCCCAAGTGCTGAGATTAAAGGCGTGTGGCACTACTTCAGGCAAAGTTTAAGTTTTAAGTTTTAAAATAACACTTTAGAGAATGAAAAAAGAAATCCTTCAAAGTAAAAACATTTTACTCATGTTTCTTTAACATGAGGAATTATACAAGCTCAAGAAAGCTAGGATACTCATGATTAATGATCATTTAAAAAAAACCCTAAATTGGGATGAAGAGAATCAGCTACTAATGAATGACACAGATGGGGAAGGGATAAAATCAAGTTATTAATCTAAAGCATATGCTAACTATCATCTGTCTAGCAGTGATTTGAATATATTCCCTCTGGTTGAATGCATTTTTAAGTATTTATTCATATTTTTGTATGTGTATGGGTGTTTTGCCTCCAAGTGTGTCTGTGGATCACACGCATGCCTGGTGCCAAAGAAGAGGACATCAAATTCCCTGGGACTAGTTCAAACAGCTGTGAACTGCCATGTGGGTGTTGGGAATCAAACCTGTGTCCTCTGGAAAAGCAGTCAGTGCTGTTAACTACTGAGCCATTTCTCTAACCTCCAATCGAGTTTCTTATTTAAGCACCACAAAAAATATGTATTGTTAGTTAGAAAATATTCACCAACTTTGTGAAAATGTTGACATGATCCTACTGAAGGAGATTCTGGGGTCATACATACCTGAAAGGTGAGTATCAAAATATGAAAGGTACCTGAAGACAGGTAGAAATGGAAATTTTTTTCCTAAAGAATAACTAAGAAATCTTCTTCTTGCCATTTCTTTGCATAGCCCAGGAAAATAAAGACATGTAAGTTGAGGTGCTTTCCACAATAGTATCTTTCTGTCATCATTGTCATTTCTGCCATGAGAGGAGAAGTTAAGGTGGGCTTGCTGAACCCTCTTAAGTTCCTTGTCCAAGACTTGACATCATTTCCTCCCAATTCAAACCTTCTCTTTTGGGGACTCAAGAGGTTGCTCAGTGGTTAAGAACATGTGTTGTTCTTGAAGAGGACCTAAGTTCTATTCCCAGCACCTACATGGGGAAACTCACAACCTACAACTTCAACTACAGGGGATCTGACAGTCCTTTGACCCCCTCAGACACATAAGCAAATTAATAACAAACCTCCTCTGCCATTGTTTGTAGAAAAGATTGGTAAATACTACCAGACAGAGACCATTCACCTTATTGTGTTCAGTTTTGAAAAAAAATGATTTCCCTCTGTATTAGCTAAAGAGGTACAAATTTAAAGTAAGACCATCTTGAGAGATTACTTCTATGAACTGAATGCCAGTCATGGCCTTGAAGGCAGGTACATTCTCTTTGGCTGATGCTAGGTCTAATTTACTAAGAAAATGGCCACTCTCTTACTTCCCCAGTGTAGAGCAGAGCCAAAGCAGAACCAAGGGATTGGAGAAGATACCATTCTTTTAGCTTTTTTGGTACACTCAACTATAGGTTTTCACATTTAGTGATAAAGGGAAAGATAGCGACAATTTTGATGCCATCAAAGCATGGAAGGAGAAAGCATTTGAGTGGGGGATAATAATGGGTAAGAGAGGCCATTGAGGTCAGGCTGTAACCAAGAGAATTTTGGGTTTGTTTGTTTGTTTGTTTGTTTCAAGACAGAATTTCTCTGTGTTACAGCCCAGACTGGCCTCAAACTCTGCCTCTCAAGTGCTGCCATTAAAAGTATGCACCACCACGACCAGGCTGATAAAAGAGCATCTTAGAGGATGTACAAACCTCAGAGTGATTCTTAGGAACCTGGAATCGGTTCTAAGCAATACGGAGGAAAAGGCAGAACCAGAGACATTAAACAAGGAAGATGAGACCAAGTAAACCAGACACGTGAATGTTACACAGGCACAACACACACCTGTACACATATAATTTCCATTTCCAGAGGAGGTAGAAGAAAAATTCCGAGCTACATATACTCTAGAAAAGATTGGCTGGGAGTTCATGACCCCCTATTCACCATTTTTTAAGTAATTGTAAATTGAAAACAGTCACCTAATATATCTACAGCTCAAGTTTCTCAGTTACAAATCAGGACAGCTAGTAGTAACTGCTTCATTGAGTTGAATATTAAATAGGTAATTCATATAAAATGTTCAGCAGTCTGGCTAACACCCTTAAAATGCTATGTATTCTGGCAATTATTATTTGACAGTAATTAAATTAATTCAAGCATTTTCTGAATGACTACTATCTGCCTGACATTCTGCTAGATTGAATAAGGGTAGATCTTGTCTTCAAAGTATAGAAAAGATATATATCTTTTGACAAAAAATTATAACATTAATAAATGACTTAAGCAAATCACTATAATACAACCCAAAATAGCACCTTGGAGTGAGTGGATAGCTGTTTCTTCTTCCTCAGCAGTCAGGAAGGATGACAAGTGAGCTAGAACAATTTGACTCCAGTTTAATCCTGCAGGTTATAAACAAAACAGAACTGATAAAAGGGAGAGCTCAGCAAAATTGTGCAATTATCTAATGATTGACAAGTACAAGGAGTTAGAGAGGAAAGGTGAAAGCAATCACTTCAAGCTAGACTGAAGAATTAAGATTTCCTTCTTCAGGCCTTGGGGGGGCGGGCATCTGACAGGGCTGTATGTCAGAGCTACTGGCAGGAAACACCCCGAAGAAGGGAAGCACCTAGATCTCCAAGAAACCCGCAGGGAATGAGGCCCCCACAGACCTCAGTTTTTCTCTTCATCGGTTGACTGAGCCCCTACTATGGGTTTTAAGTGAGGTGGGCAGCATGAAGGACTGAGCCGGCAAGGCCCTTCCCTCACCACTGTGGATAAACAGGTGGATTTTAAGGACAAGTAAAGAGGGCTCATAAACAAGGCTGAGTTGTACAAAGGAGCAGACAAAGGGCTAGGAAACAGAGTAAGGCAGCAGGAAGGGAAGGGCTGCTTTAAACTTTTCTGGGGAAAACAGACTAAATGCAGAGGACGGAGACAGGCATCTATTGGGTAGGGTTGGGGCACCAATCAAAGATCTTTGAAACTCCGTGTTTGTTACATAAATGAATATGTATTTTTCTAGAAGATAGAAGGGACAGGGCTCCTGTTCCTTCTGACATTAAGGAGGCAGTGTATTTCAATTTTTATTGAACCTTTCAGAATTTGAGTCTAGGGCCCAGACAAATTATTATCACAATTTAAAATTTTTTCTTCTCATAGCTGAACATGGTGACACACCTCTTTAATCCCAGCACTCAGCAACACCAGAGGCAGAGATCTCTCTGAGTTCGAGGTCAGCCTGGTCTACAAAGAGAGTTCCAGACTATCCAGGGCTACAGAGAGAAACCCTGTCTCAAAACCAAACCAAACAAAACCCCTCAAATGTCATTACTTTATTATACTGACATTTTTAGTAGTCATTTACTTATATACAGAGTGGCTCTTAAAAAGTTTCTCTATACCAAACTGTTCTGGGAAAAGGCACTTACATGAAAGTTCAATTATAGTATATGTAATTTATATTTATTATTTCTCTCTTTTCCGCTTAATTTGTGGAGGTGGCAAGAGACACTTGTTAGGGGTTACAAAACTGAGCTCTTATAATATAAATGTATCCTAGACAGGAAAGAGAGAGAGAGACAGAGAGACAGAGAGACACAGAGAGAGAGAGAGAGAGAGAAAGAGAAATAGAGAGAGAGAGACAGAGAGACAGAGACAGAGAGAGACAGAGACAGGGAGAGGGGAGAGAGGAGGAGAGGTGGGCTAGGGATATTATTTGAACAGACGTTGGAATGGAGGTCTGTGGGCCATGACCTGAGTACCACAGGCCTACTGGCCACTGCAAGAGTCCCCAACCCCACCCGGAGAAATTCTGTGGAGCCTCACCAGGGTCAAGAAGGCCCACGGGTGGCTAGGAAGCCCATAACCTTGGGAAGGAAAGCAATGGAGAAAGGCTAGGGAGGCCCTAAAGGGCCTGAAAGGTCCCAGCAAATTTAAGGTGGCATGAGAAGAACCAGCAGTGATCTAAAAGACTCCAGAAGTTTCCCAGTGGACTGAGAAGGACTAGAGAAGCCTGGGAAGCCTTGGGGAAGGCAGTAAGGAGCAGGGACCCCTCAGGGTGTGGGCACTAGGGATGTCAGGTTGGCTGGGTTGCCCACAGGACTGGTGGGCCTTGGGGTAGTGCCACCGCGGCCCTTGGCGTCCAAGACGCTCCTTGCCAGGGTGGAACGTGGAGCGGCGCGGGCAGCCGCGCTCCGAGGTAGTTGCCAGGCGACAGGGCCTCTCGTGGCCCGGCCTGGCCCGGGTGCGACCCCGCTGGGGGCGCCCGCGGCCCACAGCCGCCCTCTCCCTGTCCACCCACCGCAGGAAGGCCGAGGCCCAGCCGGCGCCCGCTGAGCTGTTGGTGCAGCACGAGGAGTCCGTGCCCAGGGCTGGAGGCGAGGAAGACGACGCAGGCCAGGACACGTGGGTCGTCGAGGCGGACGAGTAAGAGCCCAAGCCACCCTCAAGGACTACCTGACATCCTGGGCCACGAAGCCCGGTACAGCCAGGAGGGAAGGGTGACCTGCCTCCCCGCCCACGAGAAGCTAAGGCTGTAGACCCTGGACCGAGGTCACTGAAGGTCTCCCTGTTTCCAGCCCTTCTTCCGGGTGCGACCTTACTGGGGGAGGGGGGGCACACATCTGATCCTAATGGTGCCTCACTTCTTAGCAGCCTGCAGCTTTCTGCATTTTTTCAGGCCCAGAGTCTTGCATGTATATTGCAATGGATCAGGTAGTTTGTTGGTTCTTAAACTACCTGAACTATACTGAAGACAACACTTTGTAAACCATTAGCTAGTGGTTTCTACAGTGACTTGTAGTTTTTCTAATTGTCCAAACCTAATCCAGTGATTGTATTAACATATATCTCTATATCTAGTATGTTTATCTGAAATACTAGCGGGGGATTTTAGACACCAAATAGTTTGGTATTGGAAAACGCCTGGCGCTCTGAGTCTTTTAGTGAAATAGGCATGGGATTCTTGGCCCGCCTGTGTGTTAAGTTCAGGTGGGGCACGTTTATTTTGAAGGACTAAAAGCAGGCTTGAAACCTGTTTTTAAATTTGAGATAGCTCACTGTATTTGTCCCCCCACCCCCAGTTGTCTTACGTCTCATCTGACATCAAACCTCAGCCAGATCTTGCCATTTATTTTTGTCTCTGCCTGGTGTCAGTCTGGCTTGCCATTGTTTTTAAGGTTACATGGGTCCCTTCTCTGCTTTCTAAGCTTTTGTGGTTAATACTGCTGCTGCTGCTGGGATTAGAACCCAAGGTCTTTGACATTGAGCTACACTTCTAGCTCTTCTAAACATTTTTCTTAACAAAACTCAGGCTTCTTTGTATATAAATGAAAAACCTTCCACCTAAGTGTACCTGTTCTACAATGTATAGGACTTCATCGGGACAGAAGAGCAGCTCCAACAAAATGGGAAAGAAGAACGAAGAGAACTGTGGCACCAACCTGAACGCCTCAAGCATCTCTCAGGAGGTACAGCAGTGCTCCAGAATTTGAAACTTTGGATGGCAGGGACAGAGCTCCAGGGTCCTACTGTGGGGATAATTCTGTTTTTTTGCTCTGTGAGCAGTTTCTGCTGAGCTTTCCCCTTAGCACATTTTAGTGAAAAACAAAACAAACAAAACTCTGTTTTTAACAAGTGGAAACAGCCAGGTGTTGGTGGTGCATGCCTTTAATCCCAGCACTCAGGAGGCAGAAGCAGGTGGATCTCTGTGAGTTCTAGGCCAGCCTGGTCTACAGAGTGAGTTCCAGGACAATGCAGAGAAACCCTGTCTCGAAAAACCAAAACCAAAAACAACAACAACAAAAAACAAATGGAAACAATTTCACTAAGGTTGGCACTTTGCTATCTATTAGGCAATGCTCTCCCTATTTTCTCCCACATATTTTTGTTGCACATCAGTAATGGTATTTGGGATAGCAAAATCATATAGCCAAGCCCCAACTCTGGAGAACTTGATAGTCTACTCTTCTTTACCATTTGGCATGTTGGTTGTCTGTATAAACAGCTCAGTTTTCTCAGAATCTCTTTCCCATTTCAACATAAGGATATGTTTTTCTCACATGTGACGTTTCAGACACCACTGTTAAAGCAACACATAGCCCGAAGAAGGTTGAGCATCCACTGGGCTCTTTTCAAAATGCCAATAGCTGGTTCTCACCTTCATCTTTTTTAAAGGGAAGCTGTACTCTTTTTTTTTTTTATGGGTATGTGTGTTTTGCCTGCATGTATGCCTGTACACATGCATGCAGTACCTATGGAGGTCAGAAGAGGGTGTCAGACCCTCAGGACTATGGTGACTGACTGTTGTGAGCTAGGAATCCTCAGAAAGTGCTCTTCACCCTGAGCTACCTCACAGTCCCTCACCCTCAACTCCCTCAATTAGAAATTGTGGCATTTTCCCCCGTGCTGAAGACCAAATACAAACCTTAAGCATGATACTCACGTGCTCCAAAACCTAGTTATACGCTCCACCCTCAGTTACTTTTGTGAGAGTCACCCCCACCCCCTGGTGGTTCTCATGGAGACTGACCTTATTTATACTACTCAAGACTGCAGAAAATCCTTAGAGATGCAGCCTCCTTTATACGCCCAAGTACCCACCCTACCAGGAAAAAGCTCTCTGTGGGTAAATTAAATCTTCACGATGTATTGAGGCATATGTCATCTTCCACTGTACAGAGACGCTGCCTACTAACACCTAACATTTCATTTGCTTAGAGACTCACCAGCAAAAGGTTTTTCCCAGATAAAGGGCCCCATCACTCTTTTCTGGAAGTATTGGAATCACCTCCTATACTCACCCTAGTTTTCTCCCAGAACATCTTTTCAACAGTAGATATTGGCACTTTTCACTTATTTTTGGCTTTCTTTGGGATATTTTCTATGTGTTTCCTAACACCTGAAACCAGAATAAGCAGTGAGCTGCTTAGCATTGAATGTAACACCAGGACTGGAGCTGTCCTGTCTGTGGTTGAAGGAAGACGCTGTAGGCTGTCAGATGTGGCATTCAGTACACAATGCTTGATGGATGAGCCGTCACATGCCAGGGAACACTGACCAGGATGTTTCATTATATTTTAAAATCAGTACTGAAAACCCACATGCCGTTGTCTTCAACAAAACCATATACTGTAAACTCCTTTCCGCCAATCAAGCTGGTAATGGTTTGGTAAAAGGAGGCCACAGGTTCCTCAGAGATGTGCTGCCTGCCTCTGCAGAGGAGGCAGAGGGTGCCCTCTCTCAGCCTTTCCCCAGAGAATATGCAAAGTGGTATACTTGGGCTCTTAAATGCCAATACAAACTTTATCCTTTAAAACGAATATTGTTTTAGAATCTCTCTCCGTGGAACTTGGATTCGGAAGAACCCCTTGCTGAAAATGAAAGCCTTTCGCCTGGAAAGGATGGTGCGGCAGGTAGTGAGAAGCCTTGGATGTGTATTTAAACCACAAGAATCGCACAGCTTAAAGGATTTCAATTCTTAACTTATTTTATATAACTATTAATTGACATTTTTCATATACATTCTTTCAGGCAAAACTAACAAGGTAAGGATGTTGGCTTAAAGTAACTCATAAAACATACTGCTTGAAAATTATTTGCATGTTCTTTCAATTTTTTTTCTTTCTCATTGCTAAACTTGAAATTTTGTTTCTGGGGAGTTCTTTAAACAAGTCAAGACCTTTACCACTTTACAGGGTTATAAATTGGTCATTAATTGCTGTTTTGAATAGGTCTGGTAATGCAGGCCTGTAATCCCAGGTCCTTGGGAGGATGAAGCTCAGAGGGAAGTCTATGGTACAGTTAGTTCAGGATTTGCTTGGGCAACTTAGTGAAATGAAAATGTAGTTGAAAATAGAGCGTTGTGAGAAAGTGCTTGCTTAGTATGTATGGTCAAGGCCCTTTTCAGCCCCCAATATCACAAAAGGAAGAAAAATAAGATTTTTACATTAACTTCTTTCAGTATAACAATGTTGTAAACTGAACTTGGCAGTAATAAAGTTTTCTGGTTGTTATCAAAAAGAAAGTAATATGTGGCTTTAAAATGTCTTGAAGACAAAATAATCTTTCCGTGTACCCTTTATATTAACATGTGGAATGTTCAACTGTAAAAGTAATATCAGTAGTATCTAAGTCTCATTAACAGTGCTGAAAACAACAGAAAGTTGGGAGTACATTGAACTTTACTTAGAACATGAGTAGCAAACAGGGCTGTGTTGTATTCAAGTCTCCTGCTGCCTTGTAGAACCATCTGGAAACTCCAGCAGAACAGCTGGTGTTGCAGCTGACCCTATCGGAGCATGCTCACAGAACAACACAGGTGCGATTTCTTCCTTACTCTCTTCAGCTACTGCTGTTGAAATTCTCGAAGCTTTTAAACACCTTGTGTACTTTTTGTATTAGCAGAACAGTAACCAAGGGGTATTTCAGCTATGGAATTCTCCTGTCAATAAAGGAAGTTCCAGGGATAACAGGTAAGAAAAATATCTCCATATTGGTTGTTTTGAGATAAGGGCTGGACTTACTGTGTAGGCCTGGCAGCCCTGGAACTCAGAGGTCTGCCTCCCAAGAGCTGGGATTAAAGGTATGTGCCACCAAACCCAGTAGGAATTTCACTGAAATAAATTTAAATATACCTATTAGCTACTTGAGATATAAAAAAATCAAGCACAACCTGGAAGAAAGGTATCCTATGCAAGTAATAGGAAGTTACAAAAATTCACTCCTAAAATAGTATGTGGCTTCAGATGTACAAAACAGCCAGTGTATTCGAACTGAACCCTTACAGTGAGGCTTACATTGATTGAGCTGGGTTTCTTATTGGAGGGAAGGAAATACGGCACAGCAGTACAGTTCTCTATGTGAGGAACTATCAATTACATACACATAAACTCATCTAACTCTCCTATAAGTCGTCAGGGTACATTGCTGCCAGAATTCCTCTTTTACAGGAATATTGGGTAGGGTGAGAGTTAAGAAACTTGCCAAAGTCACACATTAATAGTGGTAGAGCAGAATGTGGACACAGCTGAATGCAAACTCATAGTCATGACAGTATCCTGTCAGACCTTGGATAGGTTTGGATTCATGTTTTCATGTTCATTTTATTGTGTGTTAGCAGCCAGACTACAATTGGGATTAGTAATGTGTGATTGAGACCTTTCACTGGGCACTGCTTTATGCCACTTTACACAAGGAGTATTCATAGTTAATGGCCATCTTGAGTTCTACTCCTCTCTAAGTCCAGTATAACAATAGAGCGCTTCACCAGGGAGTGAGTATTATTCCCTGGTCAGAACACTTCCTGCATGAACCCCACAGTAGAGCCTGCCTTACATTCAAGCTCAAGGGACGACCAAGGCTCAAGGGAATTGTAGGAACTAGTCCTAATGGCATGGCTGTGCTGAAGGAGATAGGAAAGACCACTTCAACAGAAGGAACTCTACTGGGAACAAGAATTTCAGGACAGGGGTCAAATGAAGGGCACTGCAACTTATGAGAGCAAGCACCAAGTATGGCACATGGTGTAATGGTTAAGACATGGCATGAAGTCCACCACTCACAGGTGTGTGACTTAACCGCTCTACCAGTGAATGCGGAAATTAAAGAGACTCATTTGAAATGTGGTGAGGAGTAACCAACAGGAATGTGTTTAGTACCCAGGCTTTAGACATTGTGCAGCCTTTTGCTGTAGAGATAGGAGTTTGGTATCAATGAAGTATTTTAGTAGTTTTCTATTCAGCCTAGCAACATGCAAAGAAAGTGACAAGTAACAATAGCTTACCTTTAGTTTGTAGAAGCCCTGAGAAGATGTCCTCTCTCTTGGCGCTGCTCTCTCATTGGTGCCGAAGGCTTCCCCTTCTGATGTTCCTCTCTCCTTATTGTACTACTTGGGCTCCTATCTGTTAACAACCACAGATTGCAAATGATTTTCCTGTGGTGTTTCAAAGGCAAGATGACATTCCCAGTACTTAACTAAGTGACCATTTCAATCATTTTTTGCTATAAATGAAAATATTTTTCAAAGACTTAGGTTGTTATTTTTATTATATGTTGAAACTAAAAGAACCAAGAAGCCTTTGAGGCTACATGCATGTCAAATAGGTGCATCAACTCTTTCAATGTTAGTGTTTCTAATTATCCCCCTGTCCAGTATGTCTGTCTGTCACTGTTGTCCAGACTAGACTTAGATGCTTAGTTCTAGCTGTCTCAATGCCTGAATTTCCCAAGTAGCTAGGTCGACAGGTGGGTATTGTTGCTACCTGCTCTTTAACTATCTTTAAAATAAGCAAACATACAAACAACAAAACAAAGCCTAACCAGAAACCCAATGTCCCATGGTTTTTATCATGGGCTTAATTGTGCTTGCACAAAAAGTTGTCCATCAGTTATTTTAATGCATACCTTAAGACATTTATGGAGTTGCACCTAATTCAAGTATAGTTGGAAACTAACATTTTAGAGGTAGTTGCACACAGGAATGCTATTGGGATCTAAACATTAATCTATCTTTGATAAAGGTTACTAATATTTGAAAAGTTTCTATACCCCATAAGTCTCTCCACTGATGCAGCAATCCAAATCAAACTGAAATAGAAAAAGCCCATGTTTAAATGATACAACACTTCTGGATAGCCTTCCAGCACCCCAGAGAGGAGAGAAGAAAGAGTGACCAGAAAACTGCAAATCTATTTTCTGGGGGGCAGTTTAAATACCCTGTGGGAGTGGTTCTGAGCATCTCTGGGGGAGGGGGCCATCATTTGGCAGGCTTTCTAAGATGCAGCAGGGTTTGGAGGGAAATAGGGAAGGGGAGCTTGGGTGGAACTTCCACCATAACAATACTATTTTTAGAAAAATTTTTACATATATTAGTATGTGTGCCTGCATGTATGGATGTGTGTCATATGAGTGCCTGGTATCCATGAAGGTAAGAAGAGGGCATTAGAGTCACATGAACTAGAATTATCAATGATTGTGAGCCGTTATATGGGAGCTGGGAACTGAGAACCCAGGTCCTCTCCAAGAGCAAGTGCTCTTAATTGCTGAGTCATCTCTCCGGCTTCATCATTCAGTAGTATTTTAATTCTAACCAACAAGCCTCTTCTTAATTCTTTTTTTCTTAAAGGGAATTCAAAAAATCTTCCATGGAAACTGGCTTCAATGCAGCCAACAGTCCCAGGCTCTTTACTCTAAACCACTCATTAACAAGCATTCCAGGTTTGACAGACATCAAGCAAGTGAGTCCTTATCCTGGCCAGTCGGTGTCAACAGGTCTCTGCTGGCCCTATGCTGACGGAGACTTTCTTAAGGACAGAAATGAGAACTGGAATTTCAAATACAGAAATGGCAGTATGGAAGACAATGTCACAGATGAAAGTGACTTATCAGAAAATGAGAAAATGAATGACTCTTTGCTCAGCTATTTTAAAAAGATGGACCTGAACTTAAAGCCGGAAACAATAGAACACGTGGAGAGGTCTTTCACAGAGGAAGCAAGCGGAGTGTCTGTATATGCTGATTTTCTCCCCGCCCCTTTCAACACTCTGGATTTGCACAGATTTGCCCTCTCAAAAGGTGAAACATGGAAGACAGTAGTAGACCCTCCGGAAAGCTCCATTGAGCGGTTAATAATTCGTTTATTGGAACTGGAAAGATTACAACATATGACCATACAAAAAGAGAAGCCAAGGATACAAAGCAGTTTCTCAGTGTTTTCAATGGCAGAACGACCTTCTTCCTCTAAAGCCATTGCACTGAAAACCAGACCACCAAAACTTCCTGACACAGTGACTCTGCAGACCTCCAGTGTAGATAAGAGTCGAGACAAGAGAAAAAACAATTCCTGTTCTGGAAAGTCAGAACAAAGTGTTTCCAAATGTAACTGGAACAGTGCTGGCAAATGTAAGTTGAACTCTAGACCATTGCTAAAATGTTCATCCACTGCCAAACAGAGCGTTGCTGCTCACGATGACTTTAAGAATACCAAAAGCTCCATTTTAAACCCTTGCCAGGAACTCCCACCCAAGCCTACTACATCCCAAGCAACTCAACCACTGGCTAAAGTGGTCTCAACGAAATGTCTCCCACCAAGGTCCCCTGTGCCAGTTTCTCCCATACCCCTCTCTTTTCCTGAAAACCCAAAGGAAGAAATTAAGACACCAAGGACCAAAAAGAAACTTCACCGAAAAAGCATACTACTGAATAGACCTTTCTACACTCAAAAGCAAAACCCCTTATCACCTTCACTTATCGCCAGGGGCAAGTGCTCACCCACTGACCAAAAATAGCTTCCATACATCTCAATGTGAGCAAATCTATTCCACAAAACCCAGCAAAAATATGGTTCATCATTGAGAAACAGGTATTAGAAACAAAAACCACCTCACCCTTACACAATATGATATGGGGTAGAACTCGTGGCGTCACTGCTGTGTCTATATACAGTCAAAGGCTTCCTCACTGACATATTTGACAATCCTTTGTATGTTGTACTTCAAAGAAATGTCTCACTTAGTAAAGCAAATTATTCAGAAGACTTTTTTGTGATTGTTTTTCAATACATTCCAGCATCAATAAATGGTACAGTTAACTTACTGTGTTGCAGCTATTGACTTACTCCAATATATAGCCAGGTAAAGAGTTGCAGTTCTCTGAAGTGATTTTCTTAGTCCTTCCTGTAAGTGTTAGAGCTCTAAAAGGAAATGGACCCTAGCAGTTGGGGCCAAGGAATACCACAAAGTCACACCACACAATAAACCTCACATAAGAGATTTATTGGGAAAAACACAGGAGAGTGACTGCCCCTGCTCAGGAGAGAAGCAGCCCAGAACTGAGCAGGAGGCAGGCTTTCTGTAGGGTTTCTTGGGTGTGGAGCTTTCCAGGATGGCCTAGGATTGATGGGATTTTATTGTGTAATCTTGGGGCAAGCTCAGGGATTGGTGGAATTTTGTAGCCAACCTTGGACTTTTTACTCAGTCATGTGGAGCTTTGCCACCTGCATTGCAAGGGACTGGGTCCAACCAATATGGCCCTTAGAATGTTCTGTGGGTGGAGTCTGGTGGTTGGAGGTCCTCAGGGGCAGGGCCTGGCCACTTGAGTGCCTCAAGTGGCTTACATTCCCCGCTTTTTTATTTACTGTTGATAAACAATCAGGGGTCAGAAAAGGGGAGGACATTATCATTAGACTACTTCTTGTTGAATGGGAACATTTCAGACATTGGGCAAGCTTGGTCTTCACTATCAGGACAATATCAACGAATTGCAGGCCTCTGGCTCCATAGCTAGGGGCCAGGAATCCTATAACAACAACTGATTAAAAGTTTGGTTAGAAATCTTTTTGATTTGTTGTTGAGGAAATCTAGAGAAGTTTGTAAGGCAGAGTACAAGTAGTAGGATTAAGAAAAGGAGGAGAAAGGGGGAGTTAGAAGTGGATTGCCTATGATCCACTGGCCAGATGTATTGAGTTGTTTCTTACATTTTTGGAGATCTGTCTGGAATTGTCAGATCTTATCTTTTACTATACCTGACTGGTTGACAAAGAAACAACATTCTTCCCTGAGGAAGAGACAAAGACCACCTCTCTATGCTATTAGTATATCTGATCCTTGCCAATGTTGTAGTACTGTCAGCCAGTGAGTCTATTTGAACCTGGAGGGAAAGGATGGTCTGAGCCACCAATTGGAGATCCTGGATAAACTTAGAGGAAAACTGGAGGGGAACTGCTAGGAAGGTAGTCAGTCCCGCTGTTTCAGTATGACACCAGTGGTTATACCCAGGACTGCTAGAGAGGGTAGGACCTGAATCACTCGTTTGTCATACTGTGCCACTATAACACTGTGATGTAAATTGGCAAGAGTTCGTCACTGGATACCGTTCCTAGTTTTGGAAAAAGGAACACCAGGGCACAAGTCCCAGACCACCTAGGGGGTAGGCAGTGGTAAGAGTGCTGCAGAGAATTAGGCATTGGGAATGTTTGGGCAAAGGGGCTGTGTGGTAGACTAAGGGTTAAGGGATTATTACAGTCTGCAGAGTCCAGTATGCCTACAAAGTGTGTTCCTTAGGAGTTAAAGCTGTCTGTGATATGAGAGAAAGATGTTGGAGAGTCAAGGGGTGGTAGTGGTACTTGGCTCAAAGCAGTTGAGTGAGGCCATATAATGATGGTTGTGAGTTTGATCGGGACACACAAGCAGCATTCTCCAAAGTGGCCAGACATTGTTATTCCGTAGCTGATATGCTGTGTGGAGCTTAAGGTCTGAAATGAGATAGAGTGAACACGACGGGGACAGAGAAGTTGAGTCGGTGTCATGGGAGCGGGGGCTTTATGGAGGTAAGAACCTTTGATAATGTTGGATTTGCATCACATTTTCTTTTTCTATACCTAGATGCTGGGAGAGTGGGATGTACGCTCTTTTTGTTTGTGCCCACTGGGTGCCTGCTGACCAGGTCATAATACAGTTTGTCAGTGTCTCAGGTGTCTTGAATATAGAGTTAGAAGGATGCTTCCTGTGTATAGACGAGAGGTGGGTAGGATGGTCCAGATTTGTTTCTTGGAATTTGCAGGAACAATACGGCCAACCTCTCTAAGTTTCCGCCTACTTTTACAGTCATCTCCCATTTGGTAATAGAGAAACAGGCATGGGGGTAAGCCCTGGTGAAGGAGAAATGGATAAGGGAGTTAGAGAACTGAATCAGCCCTTGACAGCCTGATAGAGTAATTTCCTAGCCAGATCAGAATGGGCTGTTGGTTAGAGGTAGGAGTCTCTTGGACACTAAACATCCAAATGTGAGAGCTACCCCGGACAGGTGTAGATAAGGAGAGGAGAGAGAGCAAATTTATATATAAAAGGTTTTTGAATCATTTGTGCAGTGGCAGAAGTTGCTACAATTTGGGAGCGTGTAAAAATCAGGTGTTTCATCTTTGGCCATTGTGTTGTACTGATGGGCCATTTATACTGAGTCTGTGGAGTCGAAAGGGTCACAGAACAAACTCCACCAAAGTGAGTTTCATAAGCTCCAAACAGGAGCTGAAAGACAAGAAAGAAGCCCAGGAGGGCACAGAGAAGCTGTGAGACTTCCAGAAGGGAGCTGAGGGACGGGGTGGTGGTGGGGTGGGGACAAGGTCACAGGGGCCCAGAAGGGTTTAAAGAAGCTGTGGGACTTAGCAGGCAGTTCCTAGCATGGAGGAGGCAAGGAAATAGGAAAGATTCCAGTAGAGGGAGAGTAAGTGTCTTAGTAACTAGAAGAGTTGCCCACATGGTGGAGCCCTGGTGGGTGTAGCAGGCTCCAGAGACCAGAGAGAGGACACTTAAGTGCCTGAAGAATGGACTCTAGAATTTGGAATCAGATATTGTGGGTGGGAGAAGCCAGAAGAAATATGATCCCTACCCACCTTACGAGAGTCAGATCCACAACTTAGTTCAGAGCAGCCAAATTCCTTTGCTAGTTGGGAGGCACAGGTCAGAGCTATTAATCTGGTCTGTTGCATAGTGGTTTGGGCTGGGAGTGGTCACTAAAGCCGTGGGGTTTGGTGAGGCTGGTAAGGTGTTCTCCTACCCCAACAATAGGCAAGTGAGAGATGTGTCCCTCAAACTTCATCAGGACTGAGAAAAAGTGGCCCTGGTGTCCAGAAGGAAGGACATGGATCACCCGGATACTGTGCAGATTACCTAAGGCTCCCTGTCAGAAATGCCAGTGGTCATGCCACCCTCAGTCATCCATGGCCAGACCTAGGTCAGGTGGAGACAATCTGGGCTTGATGTCCTCAAGCCACAAGGGACACGAGAGCAGTTAACAGCCCAATAACCCTCTTGATGACACATTGGACATGGTCTGGGTGATTTATGAAGGTTCGGGTAGACACAGGCCCAGTGACCCTCCTAACCCCATTTGAAGCAGGGTCCTGAGGTCCTCAGGTTTTGGAAAGCAAAGGAGCCTGGGCAGTTGCTTGGACAACTAAGCCTGAAGCCACAAGAAGGGCTTTCTCATATCTTCATGGTACACCTTAAATAACACTGTCTATGGCATTAGGGGCTCCCTGTCTAGATGTTTAAGTTGGCCCTAAAAGCAAGAAAATAATGAAAGAAGTGGCACTTTAAGAGCAGGCTTAGAGACAGGCCAGGAGGCCATCGTCTGGACTTCACCTGCACGTGCCTGCTCCCAAATTAGCCTGCATTCCTTGGGTAGATTTTCGGTGAGAACCATATAGATGTCATGTAAAGTAAGGTTGTACAATTGGCTAATATGTTGGAATTCTTTAATAAGGGTGTAAGAATTAGCAGTATAGGACCCCAATCCTTTTCTATTTGAGTATTTGCTTAATAAATAGTGGACATGTACCCTGACCAACCACTCACCCCAGTGACTTCCTGAAAAGGGAGAACAGTGGCCAGGTTAGACCAAATAGGGGAGGTAAAGGGGGTCCCATGGCAAAATAGGAGAGAGTGGCAGTGAGATTAGGGTTAGTGGTAGGCTAACAGTAGGCAAGGAGGACTGATTTGGGTGGCCTGTCACTGAGACGGGAGAAAAGAACAAAGAGGATGGAGAGGAAGAGAAGGGACTGTGGGCAACGAGAGAGAGCCTGGGGAGCTTGTTAGTGTGACTGAAAATGGGAGGAATCATATGGTTTGGGCTTCCTAATTAGGAGTTGTCTGCTCCCCCCACCCCGCTGGTTGACTTATACCATGGTCACTTTTATCAAGGTGGGAAGGAGTAAAGTCACATGGCAAAACCCATCCTTTCCAACCATAGCAAAGATGGCTGGCAGTCATATGGCTGCCCCCATCCCGATGGGGGGGAGGGGCAGCTAAGATGACAGCAAACCACATGTGTTCTTTAAGATTACCTATGTGTAGATTTTTAATTATCAACCCTGGTGTTATGGATTTCAAGCTAATCCTTTTGTTAGGGATTTTACAGATTTTTAATCAAGCCCTGTATGCCTGCCACTTAGCTGACCCAGCTAAGATCAACAGTCACTCATTCTTCTGCAACTTCTGATCCCATTTTGCATGTGCTACATACTCACTTATTTGTCCCTTGTTTTTAAAAGCTGTAAACATTTCCTTAACTGAGTGGGTTGAGGGGTAAGAAAGGCCAATAGGTCTACCTTTCACACTGCAATGAGCCAAGGGATGAAACTCACAAATAGAAAACCAGAGAAGGAACATGAATACAACACTGTATTCTGTACCTAATGCTCCGAAAACATTTTGATGTTCGTAAAATCAATAGCCTATTTTTCAAGCCTACAATGTTTAAGTTACACATTCTCCTCCATGACTCTCCATCATTGTGACTCATGGGGCACATTTAAGTCTTCTTTGTATATATGGTCCATGTTTGTGCACACATATGAAGGTCAAAGTCTGATGCTGGGTGTCTTCCTATGTCACTCTCTACTTTATTTCTAAGGCAGCATCTGATTCTGTAAGACAGTCTGGACAGCAAGTGCAGAGTAGCCCTGGACTTGCCCTCCCAGCCCTGGGTTAGACACAAACCACAGCGCCCAGCTTCTATGTGAGTGCTGGGAATGTGAACCCAGGTCTTCATGCTTGCAAGGCAAACACTTTACTGACTGAGTCATTTCCCAAGGCTTCTCTTCTGAGAATTTGTTAGGTAAAGATTTCCACTTACTTTAATAAACAAGTCCCTAGTCATATTTGAGCAGAGGTTCTTTTCAAAACACATGTCACTAGAGAAAACAGGAGTTTAGAAATATCAGGTAAGAAACAGTGTCTATAAAAAAAAAAAAAAAACACCAGTAAGCAATATGGTAGCAAGAGGCACACTTTATTAAGCTTCCTATTAAGTTGTTGGGGATCATTTGCTGCTACAGTGCAAGTTACAACTCAAATGATATCAGGAACAATTAGGATACAAATCAAACATTTTCTGAGAGCAGCTTCTGTATCTTGATCACTAAATGGAATGGTTCTTCAGAAGAATAGTCCCTTACCCTATATATACAGAAGAAGAGAAAGTAAGGATGCCACAGTGGTATTTCTCAATGTAACCAACAAACAAAACACATTTTATAGTCAACTTTGTATATAGCATTGACATGTAAAAATTACAAATGAATTTGCAGTGAGCATTTGTAAAAGAACATTGCATTTAGGAGAATAAATTCATTTTGAATATGTCAAAAAAACCATTATAGAGTTCAACTGTTAACGGTGTCATAAGGAAATATACTACATAATCACATCTCACTATATAATCTCATCCCCAAAATAACACTCAATCCCTAAATGCTAAACCTGAATTTTAATACATGTAATTCCTTTGTTTCATTTCAGAGTCTATTTCTATGTATGCAGATAGAGTAGACTAGGAGAAATGCAAAGCTGGGGCCAAAGTGAGAATGCTGCATTTCACTAAATCTGCTACACACAATAAAATATGCACTTTCTATTCCAAAAATGTTCTGAGTACTTAGTGTCATTAGGAAAAAAGATGTAATTGCAATGGCAAGATATACATGACATCGTTATTTTAAACAAAATAGGTGAGAAAGTAGCCACTGGGAATGAGAGAACAGAATGCTGCTAATCAGGATTTCAGTGTAAATACAAATACTCGGAGTTGCTGTTTATAACAATATGCAGCTCCTGTTCAGAGCGGCAAACTCCCTCATTTCTGATAGTCCCTGAGAACAAAGTCTGCCAGGAGACCTCACATCTATAATGATGCTTCCTGACTGTCTTTCTCTCTTCTAACCTTGGATGATCACATGTCTGAGATCTTCAAGGTGTGTGCATACACTGTCCAGAATAAAGGTTTTAACATTAGAAGATCTTTGGATTAACTGCCCATGTGCATAATGATTACATGAATATCCATGTACCTTGGATTTATTTCCTAAAAAGAACAAAACTTGACTTTAATTTTTCTGTAAAGTATGAAAGCCTAACGTTCATGACAATTTTATGAGAAAACTATTCAGCTATTCAGAAACATGAACACAGGTTTGTTAAACAGGATCATTCGCCAAGTGACCTCAACCTAATAAAGGTCCTATACAACTCCCAACTTGCACCTCAGCAAAGTTACCACATCAAGTAGAAAGAAGTGTATACCCAATACAGTTAGAGTTCCTTTGGGAAAGGTAATAGTACAGTACTACCTTTCTCACCTCCCCCATGTGTGCTATCAATATTTTAAGTCTCTGGCATTAAAAAGCTGGTCACGAAGGATTAAGAGAAAGCACAGCTATTAAAAGGAGTCAAATAGCTTATTAAAATCTTAGACTACTCGTGCAATTTAGATACCTGCTTAAAACTAAAGAATAAAAAAAAAAAAAAAAAAAGAGGGTCTAATACAGACCAGGAAGGCCTTGAACTCCAACTCCAAACCCTTCTTCTTCTGCCTCCTCCACTGCCCCAGTACTGAGACTACAGGTGTGGCTACCACACCCTACATGCAGATTACTTTCCAATGTACACTAACTTGGCAGCTATGTTTTCTTTCTTTCTTTTTTTCCTTTTTTTTTCTTTTTTTGGTTTTACGAGACAGGGTTTCTCTGTATTGGGGGCTGTCAGTCCAGCCCGGCCTCGAACTCACAGAGATCCGCCTGCCTCTGCCTCCCGGGTGCTGGGATTAAAGGCGTGCGCCACCACCGCCCGGCAGCTATGTTTTCTTAGTGATCTTTAGGACCTGATTTTTAACAACCATGAAATGTGGGACTTTATGTGACTAAACCTGATTTTTATTTTAGAGGAAGGGTATAGCTGCAGCAAATGTGATCAAAATAAGCCCTTTCCAGATGAGCACAACTACTCTAAGTACCACAGCAACAAGACCTGAATTATAATGTTGAAACTAAAAATCAGACACACACTAAATGAGAAGTGAAAAGATCGTTTATGGGACAGAAACCTTGGCTCATGTCTTCTGGCTGTCATCATCTTCCACTTAGCCGCACCTAAAACACAAAGAACAAGTAACAAGCAACTTTGTTTTTTTTAAAGAGCAGGCAACAGCTTTGAAGGTATAAGATGAATTGTTTCTAGTGGAAATTAACTTATTAAGTAACTATAAAATGAAGTCATGAAAACCACCAGAAGCAAAGCATTAACTACTGAGTGAAAACAACTACAAAAGACTTGAATATGCAGCATACTAGCACCAAAATAAAGTAAATCATGGTGGGAAAAATCACTACTTATATCATTAAGGTGGTTGCTGCACCCGTGATGCCTTATTTAAAAGGCCTCACTCTACCTGCAGATGAAAATCACCTGGTATTTATTTTAGTTAAGTCTAACCATGAAGAGACGGGGTGTAGATTCATAGGTGGCTTATTATCTCATCTATCACCTTCCTGGCTGTGTAGTTCATTTCATGTCTTTATATGGAGCATAACCCACCAGGAGAATGCTGCTACTCTGATATTCCATTCTTGAATGCACCAAAATGTGCATGCTTGTTGTAATTAGGTGCCTGGGTGAATAAAAAAATCCCATTTACAATGTAAAAATAATATTTAACCCCCCAAAATTTTATCGTTCTCCATAATCTTCTGGAGATAAGCAGTAAATTTACCCACTCCCAAACAGAAAAGATTACATAGGACTTTGAAAATTCTCTTCTACCATATTAAAAATACAAATTCCTTTGTGTTGCAAAACCAAGCTGATTTACATGATTTTCTTTTAAATTGTTGCTAAATGTTTATCTACACATGCTGTCAGAAATAACCTTGTTAAGAAGGTGAAGCTGGTGTCTCAGCAAATCAGACCCCTTGGAGAAGGCGTCGAATGGCCTGTGCCCCGTTTTCCTTTTTCTCTTTCCGCACCATCAAAAGGAAAAGTGAGAAAATAGCAGAAACATTAGTTAAATCCTGAGTTATAACCCATAACCTACAGGAATAACCTCACTACACTGAAAGCTGACAAAATTTGCAGGACTTTTTATCTGGATGAAATAATTAAGATCCTAATTATTAAGAAAAATTTAAAAATCAGGCTAGACTAAGTTATATCTTTAGTAGGCAATAATTTCAGGAGAAAAACAAAGACTTTTTAACTATTTACAGTTTACCTGACTTACCAGCACTGAAGACAAAATCTTTTAAAAATGGCTACAAATGCCTTGTTCACAAAAGACTTTATTATCTAGTGATGCATACTGAGAACATACAGAAATCTGCACGGTCCACTTCCCATGCAATAGAACAATCTCCACTTTACAGTAAGTGAGTGTCAACTGTTTATGCAATAGACAACACTTTAAAGTCACATTTTAAAAGAAAAGCTTCATTTACAAAAGAAATAAAAGGTAAAGAAGCAATTACCGCTTTTAAAAAGCAGCTGCTTTGTTCAAGAGTGGAAGGTTTATGCCTGTATTGAAAGACAACATGATCACAAATAATGCAAACAATGAACAAATGAAAAACACTTTTACCATAAAGCAGTACACTTTCAAAATGACATACAAATAGTTAAAAATCTCATTATGTTGTCTATCTTTTAAATATGAGGACTTTCAGAAGTAGGCCTCAACATTTTAATTAGTAAATGAAAACTATGCAGTTTTTATGTCACTAAGAACTGTATTAACAAAATGTTTATAAAGTCTATAGCAAGTTGATTAAAAAAAAAAGTAAAGTTAATAAGAAACAGTACACTGAAGGCGCTCTATCCATCAAGCGCATTCGCTTCAAATTTTAAATGTGATGAACAGAACAGAAACTGTAACTATGCCACAGTCGCAATGCCAAAAATAAAACAAGATCAGTTATCACACATGCAGGAAATTCTGCCACAAAGCTATCCCTCATTTTCAATTATTCCAATAAAATAACATCTTAAAACACTGGTGATGTTGATGGTTTAGCTTACCTTCAGTGTACTGAATGTTGTACACAACCTGCTTTAAAAGAGGAGACATCCCTGCAGGCAGGCTCAAGAAGGAACAGACTCCCTTCGGCACTGACTACACCAAGGGCATGCTGCTGTGGCCTGCACACACACACCTAGGAAAACGTGAATATAAACAGCATTTATGCTGGCCATTGTATCTGAAGACCAAAATGAAGCCAAGTTTGCTAAAAACAAATCAACCACCCAGCACTGCTACTCATAACAGATGCTTTTGTCTTTTATGTGAACTGCAACCATATACATTAGCACTGTAATTTTGTGCAGTCTTAGCAATTAAAACATTTCTACAGTGAAATTTCACATAAGACACAAAACAGATTAACTAACATTTCTAAAAGAAATATCACCCTTGGTGTTAACTCAAATATATCATGCTTCCTCAAATTTGCTGCCGAAATATTTATAAGTTTATATACATTAATAATAAACTGCTGTGAAATTTCTTCAGTCTTTGTATTTAATTACTCAAACCCTTGGAGTTTCTTCATCTCGTTTAAATTTTTTCCTGGATGAATGCATGCTGCAGGGCCTGGTTGATGCTAATTCTCTTAGCTGGGTCCAACATTAGGATCTGGTCCAACAAGTCCTTTAGTTGGTGTACTTTTTTACGTTGATCTTCAGGAAGTCGCTGGCACCCAATCAAGTCAGCCAACAGGTCCTTAGTTGGATTAATGGTGCTCATGACAGTAACTTTCTCCTAAAAATAATTTTTACAATGCATAGCTCTAAATAGGTTACATGTATGTAAATGTAAATCAGACTTTGTCTATGAAAATATTGATATAAACAAGAACTTATGATTAATCATGGCTTTGATTAATATAGTTTTTTTTAATGTAGTTTCATCCTCCACAGCTTTTCAAAGAGCAATCAAGAAACTTAAATGGAAAAGACCCCCAATTAGCCACGAAAACGTAGTGAGTATCCGCTGCCTGAACTGTGCTTTCTCTAGTCTTATGCTTCAGTGGCAAGAGACAGTCTGAACCAGGTCAATACCAGGACACATTTCAGTGCTCTGACAAAGCAAGGGCTCGGGACTAGAGATCAAAAATCAGCAAATTATTACTTCATCCTGTAGGTTTTAGAAAGGCTGATATAGAATGTATTTCAGCAATGCTGGATAAGTGTGCTTAAGAGAGGAGGAAACTCAGGATATGATTTCATTCCTGGGAGTCTGTTGAGCAAAGGCACTGAGGTCTGCCGAAGCCCATGTGCTTCTCGGTCAAGAGTCAACTCACAGGGAGAAGGCAGAGTTCATGGAGAACTGGCTTGTAATTACAAAATTCAAAATATAGAAAATGTTCTCCAATAGCAATATAGAAGACACATGGGAAGTCAGACCAAGGAATCTAAGCTAGAGGTGGCAAAGGCCTACATATGGAAATGTCTTAAATCCCTTCACTGTTTTCATAGCCTGATGTGCTTTATTCAGGAATAGCATATTTTGTTGTCATTTTGAAATTAACCACAGCTCCACGCAGGACATGAATAATAAAGCATACAGTGTCAGGGATTTAGTGCAGTGGTAGATGTGAAACCCAATCTTAGTCCCCACACTGAAAAGACAAAATAGCAACAACCACAATGGCACTTAAGTCAGACTTACCCTCTCTGTTACTTTATCAACCTCTATGTACATGAAGTTCAGATTTTGGTCAAAATGTTGGTCTTTGAAAACACCTTTCCGAATCATCTACAAAATGGGGTGGGGAGAAGAAGCTTTAAAACTACTATAAAGCAGTCTGGCACAACACTACCAACTCTATGTAATTATTCACACAACATACTATTTAAGACTCTCCTTCTGGATCCCAGAAGCCCTTGTACCCAAAACCAAGAGTGCTAGCCAGTCTGCCATGCTTAGTTAGCTACCTTGTCTTACAATCAGCCCACTCCCTTACATGCTAACTAACTCATGTGCCACTCTTTTCATTACGTTCCTGTCTTTCATTCACTGTCTCACGGTTGCAATTCTTTCTCGTTAACGAAGGTGTCCTCCTCCTCCCATTACTGAAAAGGGAATTCCCTCTGATAGCTCTTGGCTGATCAGAACCATTAACTGAGACCCCAAAACAAGAAACGAGCTAAGGCATCACAACAGTCACCTACTCATGCCTCTGAGAGCTTTATTTTATAAGCTACAGTCTAGATGATAGTGTTGGGAGTCTCTTAAGTCTATTGGAAGGCATTTATCCTACCTTATTTGGCATCTTTCCTTTGAGATCCATGGCGAGCTTCAACATATGGTTATTAGTTTTGCCAGGAAATAAGATTTTTCCAGTATAGAGTTCATATAGGGTGCAACCTACAGACCACATGTCAATACCGTAGTCATAGCTTTTACCTATAACTAAAAACAAAATGGGGTTTTAATACATGAGGATAAGAACGAATGACTCCTTAACTTTGATTTCTAGTAATGGGGCACTAACTTAGCTTGGACTATAGCTACATCCATAATGTCTCAGTTTAGTTTCATGTTCTTTCCCACTAATTCTTAAGAGAAGAAACAAAAAACGCAAAACAAAAAATGCTAACACGTTTAAAAATGGGGTGGTGAGGAACTGGAAGGACAAGTGCAGATAGGTGCCTTCCTTCTCTTTCTCCTTCCACCTTTGCTGGAGGTGCTAGTCAACCTCAACCCAGGCAACAGGAAGAGAAAACCAAAGGTCCCACACAATCCATAAACGTGATAATCAGACCTTGAACAATCAAGAGCAGTCTTCTAAAGTCGAGGGTTTTCCACAACTGTTTTGCTACCCTTGCTCGACATGATCAAGACTCCTGTCACAACTACCTTCATTCCACCTGAGGAGGATGAACTTGCTATGGTTCCCTTCCTCATGAATGAACTGGTGCAGCTGCTGAAGTGCGATGGAAAACGGTGCTTAGACATTACACATGCTGCTTCCACCACAGAGGACGGCCCAGGTACAGGAACACTCTAAGAAACTTACTGATCTCCGGAGCACGGTAAAATCTACTGACAAGATAAGGCGTTATGTCATTATCTGCAACATGTGAAGCCGATCCAAAATCGCAAAGCTTTAAAATTGTCTTTGATTCATTAACCTGCAAAACATTTTTCAAGGAAGTTCAATTCATGCCAGGAATAATAATGCAAAGTAAAATAGTCTTTAAAAATTTGTATTACTCTTAGTACTGAGAACAAAAATCACTAGTTTAAAAAAATTCCTTTTCTATTATGCAAATTCATAATTATGAGCCACCATATGGTTGCTGGTAATTGAACTCAGGACCTCTGGAAAAGCAGTGAGTGCTCTTAACCTCTGAGCCATCTCTCCAGCATCAAGTTCCTAATTATGAAAAGGTGCTTTTAAGAATTCTATCACAACTAATGAGACTTTTTTTAAAGAAAACATGGTACATTTTATTTTACTTAATGGTATTTAGGATGGAGTCGGGCAATGAGATAAAAAAAATCTCACTTCATGAGGCAAAGCATTTCTAAGCTTCCCTTGAAAACCTAAAGTCAAGTTACTCTCTAAGAATGTTTATTAACAGAGAAAAATTTGACTAAGTCAACCACCAGCTGCCAGACAATTGCAATGGCAGTGAAAAGAGGATGATACACTCAACACTAAAATGATTGATTCTTCATCTGGCTACCTGGTTTACATCATCTTAAAATGCTATCACTTTTAAGTCTGAAAAGTACCAAACCCCAAACGTATCTGACAAAACTGCTAAACAAGAACTCTGCATTAGACATCTGTTATTGTCTCCTTAGTAATACTTCCACATACACAGTAACAGTGACATCTGCTGAGAAAGGCTGGAGCTGCTCCCATGACTTTGCCACTCATGGTCAGAAGCATGTGCCGGATTAACAAGTGACGATATCAAACTCCAGAGTCCCTTCCCCCCTTCAAAAGAGACACATACACATTCTGAGTTGGGACTTGAACTTGGCCTACTATTCCCATCCCCATGACAATTTATAATTTAACTGCTCTAGTACTCTTGGCAGGAAGGGGAGTTATCAAAGAATTAGTGCAACAGACTGGACTATCACTGGGACCACAGAATCGTGCTATAATAGTTTCTTCCCCAGAACCCAAGACAGAGTCTCTCTATGCAGCTCAGGATGGCCTGGAACTCACTCGTGTAGACCAGGTTGGTCTTCAATTCAAAGTCTGACTGCCTCTGCCTCTAAGTGCTGAGATTAAAGGTGTGAGCTACTAAAACTAGCCAAATACAAATAATTCTAAAGTATAACACAATATAAACACCAATTTTCTTTACTTTGGAGATCAGCAGAAAGTTATCTTAAAATGGTAAACACTTTTTTTTTATTTAAAAACAAAACAAAAGACCCAGCTACTGAGAAAGTTGTAACACCCAGAAAACACATGGAACTTTTTATTTAAAAACAAAACAAAATAGAAGACCCAGCTACTGAAAAAGTTGTAACACCCAGAAAACACATGGAACCATGTACCCGGGGAACTTCTGGGCTGGCTACAAAGCATTCCATGGTATCAGGACATCTACACTCACTTAGACAGTGAGGTTGCTACCTGGTGCTGGGAACAGCACAGAGCCCACATGTAGGCTAAGCATATGCCACTGTACCACCCCCTTCGGCACTGCCCCCTTTACTTTGCTATGCAACTTGTATTCCCTACCAGGGATGCTGCACATCAATCACACTGTGGCTAAAAGCACTGGATTGCCAGGAATGAAATCAGTTCTACGTGTTCTCTCAGAATTATTTTTCTTTTCAAGAAGGGATATTTAGTTCCCAAAATTAATGTGAAAATCTAAACTAACATTAAAAGGAAATGGACTTGCTAAAAAACAAAAAGCTAAGGTACTGCCAAACATCTTAACTGCAGGTGTTTGACATGTATGCCGTATTTCACAATTTTAAAAAGGTCAATATGAAGTAAAAAAATATAAAGTTGGCTACTTGATTTTTTAATCCATTTACAATATATCTACCATTTCACTAACTTCTCAGCAATTCCTCCCATTATAATAGACACATAATATGATACAATGAAACACAAACCAAGTATTAAGATAGAATGTGCATCATTATTAATGTAACAGACAGTGAGGAATTATTTTAAAATAGATGGTATACGTATGCCTCAGTGGGTAAAATGCTGACTTTACAAGTAAGAGGACCAGAGTTCAGACCCCAAGCACACATACAATATGAGAGTGGTGGTGAGCATTCACATTGTCAGCACTAGGACGGTGGACACAGGACATTCCCATTGGCTAACCTAGCTAATGGATAAGCTACAGATTTAGTGAGAGACTCCGTCTCCAAAAAAAAAAAAAAAAAAAGATGGAGAACAATAGAGGAAAGACATTCTATTCTGACCTTTGGCCTCTACATGCTCAGACAAGGGCACAGGTATCTTTATGCACACGTGTACATATTCATACACCACATACATATAATCACACAAAATATTTGTGAACTAAAAAGAGCTTCGAGGGCCATTAAACTTTATGAAATCCAGTTTTGGGGTATGGTACTGGAGAGCGAACTCAGGGTCTCATGCAAGCTGGGCAAGCACTCTACCCTACCTCTTAGCTACAACATCTCTGCCTAATCACAATCTCTTTAAGAAGCTACTTTGTCACATCTCAAACATGGATCCCAGTAAAGAAAATGTTATATATGTGACTTTTCCTGAGACATTATTCTAGAAGTGATTTTTAAAAAGTAATAAAAAACAAAAACAAAACAAAATAACAATGAAAACCTGGGGGTGCTAAGACTAGAGAGACAGTCCAATTGCTAAGAGCACTGACTTGTCCTTTCAGGAGCCGATGGGGGGGTGCTTGACTCCTAAAATCTACATGTCGGCCCACAACTGTCTATAATGTTAGTCCCCCAAAGGATCTGACACTTTATTCTGCCCTCTGTGAGCACAGAGTACATGCATGTACATACATACAGGCAAAACAAAAAGAAACATATGTTGTAAAACACATCACTGGCAGATAATCAAGCAATTCACCAAGTTGTGACTGTGCTTCAAACTATGATTACTACAGAAAGGTGAAGAAAGGAATCAACAAGGGAGAGGGATGCTTGTGCATTAGTGCTGCCACCCTGGCAATGTGTCTCCAAATTTCAAAAACATCAAACACACTGTGAAATCTGGTTACACTACAGCAGAAATCACTTAATAAGAGATGTCATGACTTCAAAGGCAGGCCTTTCAACACTGATACCTAGCTGGAGCTGAGCCTTACTGCTTGGGTTCCCAGAAGCCAGTTTCAATGGCAATAAAAAATAAAAGGCAGGAGACAAGTGTGGTAGGATGCGCTTGTAATCTCAGCATGAGATTTGGGGATCTGGGGGAAAAATAGTAAGTTTGAGATTGTATCTCAAAATATCAAACAAAACTAAACAGGCACCTTTTAAATTGAACTTCAAATAGCATTTCTTTAGTGTTCACAAGATCAGAGTACACTTCAACACAGTAATACTGCACAGCCTTCTTTAGCTATTAATGGAAATTATTACCACCATTCTTGGGATCACTGCATATTATAATTCCATCAATCAAATTTTTAAAAAGGGACAACACATTTCCTCCTCCCTCATACTTTTTATGAAATTCATACCTCAATTTCAAATGAAGATAAAATTTAGCAAAGTCAGTCATAATGGGATATTAGTATGCAGAATTATACGTTTTAAATGTTACTTTGAAGTAACAATAACCCTATTATTAGTTAGTAGGAAGAGATATGGACATACACACAAGATGACCTAGTTGCTTGACTTACCAGAATATTGTCTGGTTTGATATCTGCATGCAGGATGTTGCATCTTTTAAGGAGTTTCAATGCCAGGAACAATTGCTGACTGTATGATCTTACAGCCTTAATATGAAGACCAACATCCTTGCCATATTTCTTTAATACCTCTCGCAAATTCATACTTTAAGAAAACAAAAGAAAATGGGGTCAAAAATCAAATACAAAAAAAAAAAACCAATTTTAAGCATAAAGTAAAATCAAGTGAAAAATACAATTTATATAATTGTTTGAGAATTCTTAACCCTAATGCTTGATAAATATTTGGCACTGAGGTGGGAGAATAACAATATCCATAATACAGCTTTCAAATAAAGCTCAACTTTCAAAATAAACCAAGTAAGAGCTACTACACAGTAACTCCTACTTTACTTGAGAAAGGCCTCCCCTTGAAAATATAACTCAGAAGCCCTATTGCTGAAGGTAAAACTGGTATCTCTCCCCCCACTCCTAGTTCCATGCATCATAGACTGCTGACTTGGAGGGTACCTGAGGTTACTTACTGTCTGCCACAAAATACAGAAGTCACTTCATGTTTTACACATTGATAGTTTCAAGAAAATACAGTTAACAAAAAGAACCAGCAGGGAAAACCCTAAGCACTTCCCCAAATCTCCCCAGCATTTACCCAGAATGAGGTTGGTATAAGAGCGCTTGACTGCTTGGGTTTTGACACTTTACCTGAGAGGCTCAAATACAAGACAGAGGTGTTGCTTATGGTAAAAGTGTCTGAAGAGGCGCAAGCAATGAAACTTGTCATCAGGATCAGCATCATTAAGTTTTTTCAAGAACTCCAGTTCTTTTAAACCAGTCTTTTGCCTGCAATGAAAAAGAAAATTAGGATACAAGAATTTAGGAGTAACATCTGTAGACACAGCCTGATAAGCCATTGGTAACACACGTAAGTACATAAGTGTTACTTTTAACTTACTAAATTGCTTAAATCTTGGGACTGGAGTGATGCTCAGTGATTAAGAGCACTGGCTGTTCTTCCAGAGGACCCGGGTTCAACTGCCAGCACCCACATGGTAGCTCACAACTGTCTGCAATCCAGCTCAAAGTGAGTTAACACCCTCATGCAAATATAAATGCAGGCAAAACACCAATGCATATAAAATCAAAATTTTAAAAATTTAATCTCAAAATATCTTGGTAGAATTATTATTTTGGTTCTTTTAAGACTGTAATTGTTGAGCATGTCTTCTTAAGTATAATTTTGCTAGTGAAAATCTTGACTATAAATTGTCATAAGGTACATCTTAAGAATGACTACAGAATGACTACAGTACAGGTCAGACCTTCCCAAACAAATGTTATCTTTCTAAACTTAGGACAATTAAAGACTTCAACAAAAATCTTCAAGACTTCTAACATTTGAAGGCCAGTGAAAAGCTGACTCTACTACCAGTTCAGTGTGTGGTACAGATTTAAATATATGGGTATGGCAGTTACTTATGCTTATTAAAGAAAATAGCAAGAGATGAAGGACACAAATAATTCCTGTCAGTAGCTAATCAATCTGCTTTGATTTGCTGGCCGACATATGCTCAACAATCAATATAGTTTCACTTCTTCCTCCTACATTAAGTTGTCACAGAGATGGCATTAGGAGAGGGAGAAGGAGATCTAAAGACATACTGGTGCAGAGTAGGTTCTGAAATGAGTTCAGCACAATAATCCATGGTTCTACAACTCCCATGTAAAACATGGCTGTGAGTAAAGTCTACAGTCAGAAATCTCTTCTAAAAATTTTATTTAACTAAAGTTCATGTATTTTGTTGTTGTTGTTTTAGGTTCAGTTACTTACATGAGTTCATTGTTTCTGATGATCTTTACAGCCACTTCTTGATTGGCTCTTGCATTATCTCTGGCACGTACAACATTGCTGAACACACCTTGCCCAGTGTAGCCGTACACATTATAACGCTTATCTAGGACTTCCCCAATGTTCACACCTAAAACCGAATTTAAAAAAATAAGTCTTATTATAAAACCAAAATCAAGAAGTAGTTAACACACTGAAGGTTTTTTAAAAATTGGATCAAATCTCCACTGCTTCCGATACACAATGGAAAAACCAGTCACTGCCTCTGTTGTCCATTTATACAGAAAGTGAAAGCTACATGCTTATTTCAGACAACTTGAAGAGTTCTCGTGGTCCTATCAACTGCTGGCAACTTCATAAATGTGCTCAATGAAGTGTCTTTGGCTGTAGCACCACATGACAAATACTGTATGACTAGCACCTGAGTTCCTCTGTATGTTCTTCTCCTGACTTACAATGTAAAGATAGTCAAGTGTTAAACCCTCTCCTCTAGAGGATTCACTCATGGCTAAAAATATCTACACACAAATTTAAGCTTGCTTTAATTAATATGCAATGCTTCTGGGAATATAACAAAAGTTCTTATGCCATGACTGGTTGTGTCACACTTTTCTACTCAAGAGTTCAACAATGTGTGATTACACTGAGCAGTATGTGTTTATGAAATCGCACAATGAATTGTAAAGCTGATGAGGAATGCAAACTTACGGTAATAGCCTTCTGCATCTGTCCAATTATCTCTGAGGTTGGGATTCTCTTTGAAATCTTTCCCAATGCCAGCAGCCCGGAGACGAGCACTCTGAAATGAGGGATTCACATAAATGGTTATCAGGCAAATGTAAACTTCCTTAATAATGAAAATGGCAAAACTGACCATTTTATTAGATTCATTGATGGTTACTATTGCTTATATAAATTTTAGGTAGCCAAAGTATAATTACCAAAATGCCATATATTTTTTTAATAACAGGATTTCCAAAAGCTTTGGGGTATGATTAGGGCACTAAAAATGAAAATGAAAATCAGATCTGGTTTCCTTTAGCTGGTAAGACAGACTGGAGAAACCCCTATATACTTAATTCCATTAACTACCACAGTGTCCAACATTACCTACCGATTTCCATTTCTTTCTCTGCCTCCCTGTCCATGGAGACATTTGTACCCTTACCACACAGGCATGAAATGTAGTAATATTCACTGGCTGTACTAGGTTGAGCCTGTGTGGAAAATTAAAAATAACAACATCTATCTAGTATTTGTGAAGAACCCTATTCTATATTATTCTCTATAATACCAAGAAGGTCCTGCAATTAATGCTATGGTTTGGTTATTAAACACCCCCCACCCACACTCCCAAGTCTTTATGACAAAGGCTTTGGCTTCCCAGACTGGCACTACTGGAAGGCAGTGAAATTTTTTAAAGAGTTGACACCTAGTAGAAGTTCAAAGAAAAATTTGAGACCCAAAATCCTTCTCATTTTCTCCCCCTTTGTGACCATTTAGATGAGCAGTGTTACTTCCACCTGCTCCTGACATGATGTGCCCACTCATGGACCCAAAGCAGCAAGACTAACTGATTATAGACTAGAACCCAAATCAATCTTTTCTCTTTATAAATGAATTGTCCAGGTGTTTCATTAGAGTTAACAGAAAGGGAACAGAAGCATCACCTAGGTAAATGATGGGTGCTGATACTTCACTGGGGACAATATTCATTTCATCTTCTCTTAACTTATCTTCTAGTGTGCTTGTTGTGCTGTGGTCCATGTGATACATTACAGACTACTTAAGCCAATCATGTCTTCAGGGTCTCATATGCTGTTTATTGTCTCATTTTGATTTTTCTATAACATTTATCTTCTCTATTTCTTCTTACTAAGGCTTTGTATTTCTTTTATTTTTGGTTGTGAGCCTAGCCTTTAACGGCTGAGATATCCCTCCAGTCCAAGGCCTTGTATTTCTTAGAACCCTTGAAATACAAACTGAAAATGGTCCAAACTTTCAGGTCTATTTGTAGTAAAGAGTTTCAGTAAAAGGCACTGCTTAACATTAGAGGAAAACAAGAACAAAAACCCACAACAACAACAAACCAAACAAACAAAACAACCCCAACTAGTGACTAATGTCACTTAACCAACCCCGCATGGTATCTAACACATACATGTATTCCTGTTTATGTGATGAGGTGGGGTAAGTGTACACACACACACACACACACACACACACACACACACACACACACATATACACACACCAACCACATTTAGGCCTCTGGATAGGTGTGCAACTTTGGTAAAGTTCTCCAGTTCTGTCATACATCTTTTAAAAACTGACAAAGTTTTGGCCTCAGGGAGGAACAAAGCTAGTACATTTCAGTTCTGAGATGCTATTCACACAGCCTGTTCAGATGCTAATACTTCCTATGCTGTTAATGTGGACCTTATTTCTCTTTTTAACTGTTCATATGTACTAGTTAAACAAACCTTTTCCTAAGTCACTGACTTAAAATTACTCACATCAAAATAAGCAGCAAACATATCATCAGATTCTGTAAACATATCAGGCGCCAAAAGCTTCTTCTGAGATGAACCTTAAATGAAATATGCATTAATACTTGAGAAATAAAAACAGAAATTAAAATCTGAGTCCACAAAAAATCATTAGTATTAATCAAACTTCTTTTCCTTCTTTCACATTGACTTTCAACCAATAATTCAATTAAGAAGCAGCTTGTTACACTTGGTATAAAAATCCACTGCTACAAGTACACACCAGAAAGACTAACATCAACTTTTGCCACTGCCAATTTAAATAAATAAGTTAACAGCTACTACATGATGATTTGGGGTTAAACTGGAGTTATCCTTAAAATTTTCTTATTTAAATACCTCAAAGGCTTAACCTCCTCCTTTGGACAGAAACAGATCAGCATCCATCAGTTTATAATTTGCCCCTAAAATATCTAATAATTTAGAAAGCTATATAAGAAATAAGAAATACAATAGTTTTACACCCAACTCATAGTAAGGGAAACCTAAATAAAAACTACCATTAGGTACAAGTGCTTATGAAGGACAGTGGGTAAAATTTCAGAAGAAAATACTATATTAATAAGACCTTGGCTAAATAAATACCCAGATGTGGTTTATGGGATGGTAAGTGGATGGTAAGTTCACATAACTTGCAAGCTGCAAGAGAATTTAACAACATACAGCAAGAACGCACTCAAATAATCTACTCCTGATCCAGTAATCACACTTCTTACATTAAAGTAATACTAGAGAAATGAAAACAGAAACGAAAACCAAGTCAACAGAAAAACAAGTAGTATTAACCAAACTTCTTTTACTTCCAGCGCACTGGCTTTCCAAGAAACTATTCCAAAACTCTGTGGTTTAGCACTGAAAAGAACCTGATGTACAGTTAATGCTACTAAGTTGGTACACATCTGTCAGATGGCTGAATAAAATAGACATCCTGGACAAGAAAAGAGAATCAGGAGTCCTTGTCATGCCAGCACCACAGCTGCATGCACTGGGGAGACAGACAGGTGGGCTCCTTGGCCAGCCAGGCTGGTCTACTCAGCAAGTTCCCAGCCAGTGAAGGTTCATGTCTCAAGAAAGGTGAATGGGGCCTGAGAAATAAAATCTGGGGTGGTCCTCTGGCCTGCACATGCAACCCCTACCATATATACACAAAATAAGCTAAAAAGCATATTGTAGAGCATTACTTAAGCAGAGCATTACTTAAGCACAATAATCCTACTCCCTTTTATTTTCCCTCATATCTAATCATTTAAGGTTATACAGCTTAAACTGCAGAGAAAGGTATCATTAAGACTCTAACTCACCATTATTCTGTTCAACTGTCATTAGGTTATGCTTGGCTTTTACTGAGGCCTCAAACGTGTCAACATTCTCCCGCTCATATTCTTTTACATCAGCAGCCACCCGCTCCAAGATGTCATCTGGAGAAGGCGAACGTGATCTCGTACTGCTCTGGGGGCTGCTCGGCTCCGATGGCACGGATATGTTGCTATCTTCAGCAAGATATTTATATTTCTGTAATAACAATAGACACATAAGCTTCATTAAGACCAATTATCTAACTATATTACTTCCAACAAGCTGTTGCATTAAGACACTGGGAGTCACGCAAATATAAAACAACAAAGGCATCCACACCTGGCTTTCATCAGTTGCACAATCCCTACAAAATTCCAAATTTTACAAACTCTGAAAAGTATTTGTGTTTGGTGTACATTCACCAGGTGGTAAAACCTGATCATATGAAATTCTATTTATCATTGTTCTTTATCCTCTGGTATAACTACGCATGTAACTCATTTTAGAAATACTAATGTCTTGGTTACAGGATCTGTTTAAGTCCCTCAGAGGGTTCTAAGTGATATGCACAAATGTACACTATGCTACTGTTTTAACATTCAAAAATGTCTAAGTTTTGAAGCCCATCTGGCAAGAGTTGCAGTTAAGGGGTTGTGAATTGGGCTAAGAACAAAACAGATTCAACCAAGTTTTCAAGGGTATAAGCTTACTACTTTACTAGAGTGCCACTAAAAACCTTACAGGTCTGCCCTGCTTCCTCTGCAGTTAAGACCCTTTCCTTGGCTTCATGCCTCACCATTTGCTACATGTGGGTAGGTGAGCTGCCCTTATCTTTGTCCTTTGAGAAGGCACTTTATGAGGATTGTTGTCCCTAACTGTTCCAGTGGCTATACCAGGCTTTCGTCTCAGAATAGTCAAGGACATGTGGCTTATCTTTCAAAGTGCCAAAGTCTATGAAAGACTTTTTAAAAATTATTTATTTTATGCGTATTGGTGTTTGTTTTACTTGCATGTATGCCTGTGTGAGAGTGTCAGGTCCCCTGGAAATGACAGTTGTGAGCTGCCATGTGAGTACTGCGAATAGAACCTGGGTCCTTTGGAAGAACAGTCAGTGCTCTTAACCACTGAGCCATCTTTCCAGCCCCACTTCATGACTTTTGAGATCTGTGTAGAATACTTTTCTTATCCAACTTTCACAAAAAAAAAAAAACAAAAACAATTATGGGCTGGAAATCAAATTCAATCTCCAAACCAAACCCACACATGGAGAGAACCAACTCCTTCCAAAGTATCCACATCATCATACTCATGTCATGATTCGTGTACACACACACACACACACAACACACACACACATCAAAGCAAGATTGCAATTATAAACCTTGCCATTATCTTGTTAGACACTAAAGTGCTTTTTGTATAATAATATATCATTGATTTGGCAAAATGAACTTACCATTTATCCTACACTATAAGAATTTTCATGTTTGTTAAAAAAGAATACTTTAAATTCTCATATTTTATAAGAAGTTTACAATTCTATGTAAAACAAAGAGCAACATGACTGCAAGTCTCACAAACGTGTAAGCTCTTCTAGTGCCATGGTTACTGCCACTACTCCCCTTCTTTGCTCCACTGAAAACCTTTCTTCTGAGTACCAAACACTACAGGAACATCCCATACCTGCACAATCGCCTGCCTCTGTATCCTCCTCTGTTCTATCAGAGCTTCTTCATCCTCTTCCTCTACATCAAAATCTTCAAGGCTTTAAAAAAAAGATTTTCATACAATTTTTTTGCAGATTCCAAAACCATTAACTTGCACATTTTAAAATCAAAGTTAGAGCCACAGTCTATTCATCACTGCCGATCTGTCTCTCAGCACCTGATGGAAGCCTAGCAAGCTTTACCCTCACCTTGTTCATGGCACCAACACTAGAAATGAGAGATCTCTACATAAGCTTAGAGAAGGGTTTTTTTCCTGATCTGATCTGAGTTTTCTCATCTCTAAATAAAAGCTGGAGCAGGTAGGCTGTTATTTTTTTCTGGATCACAGAAAGCTCGAGGAAGTTTCTGGTCTATTTCCAAAATTTCAAAAATGCAAGGAGTCTGTGGTGCCCCCTGCAAATCCAGCAGAAACCAACATGAAAAACAAAAAAGTATACATCTGCTGGGTGATGGTGGCACATGCCTTTAATCTCGGAAGTGGCAGACAGATCTCTGAGTTCAAGGCCATCCTGGTCTACAAGGTGAAGTTTCAGGATAGCCAGGAGTATACAGAGAAACTCTGTCTCAAAAAACCAAAAACAAATAAATAAATAAGTAAATAAAAGTAGTATACATGCAAACACTTGACTCTTCATCAGAAAAGCGAGGCTCAATGCCCAACACTATTTCAACTGTTCACCCATATGCTCTTCAAGGGCCTCCCCAATCTTTATCACCGCCTCAGCGCAGTGCTGTCCTTTTAATTCTTAGTGTCTGCTGAGCAGTTTGTGACCCTAAAAAGTACACTGTAACTATGTCAGGCTCTATGCAGAACTCTCTTTCCAAATCCTCAGTCAGAGAACCAATTGGGACTTCTTAACCCAAGCACTACTGACTTGGGGGAAATGGTTAGTTTTGTGAGATGGAATTAGCCTGTGTATTGCAGGATCTACTATCTCTGGCCTTCTTTTTTTTTTTTTTTTTTTTTTTTTTTTCGAGACAGGGTTTCTCTGTGGCTTTGGAGGCTGTCCTGGAACTCACTCTGTAAACCAGGCTGGCCTCGAACACACAGAGATCCGCCTGCCTCTGCCTCCCAAGTGCTGGGATTAAAGGCGTGAGCCACCAACGCCCGGTTTATCTCTGGCCTTCTAACACCAGGTACAACCAAATGTTTCCAGACAGGAACAAATGTCTCCAAGGACACAGGAAGTACTATTGAGAAATACTCACTAAATTAGCTTTGATTTGGAGACAGTGTATTTAGAAACTCGCATTTTAAAACATTTTTAATACTTGAGAAAATTTAGTCATTCAAGTGTTTATCGTATTGTAACAGACACACTATCAACTAGTCCAAGTGAAAAGCAAACATGTAACATAAACTGAAAAGTCTAAATTTGTACAGACCCCTAAACTGGTCTGTTCTTTCTAATAAAAACAAAAGGAAGACTCAATAAAATGATGGCCCGATATGCAATTCAAGTCTAGACAAAACAGACCCCCTAAAATCAGAAGTGTTACCCTATGCCATAAGCCTACCTAATAACCACAGATGGTTAGCTTCTGCATGAAATTACGGATTCACTTATGTCATTTAGGTAGAAACTACAGATCACCAGCACATCAATTTTCCTATACTAGAACATGAAATGGGCATGGTTCCATTCTTACTTATCATCAGATGAAGACTCTTGCTCAACTTTCATTCCTTCAGAGAGGCTTCCTTTAAATTTGTCTTCCTTTACTTTGCTTCTGCTCCGCCTCCTATGGCCACCCCTTGATCGAGACCTTCTTCTCAAGCGTGACCTGCTCCTTCGACTCCTATCTCTATTTGAAGGAGAAAAAAGGGACAAGTTGTTAATGTATCAATTAAAGAAGGACTTTGAACTCTATACTCAATTGTAGTGTGAGCCCATTTGTCTCCAAAAGCTAGTCTATTAAAGAAAGGTGCACAGGCATGGTGGCACACCATAACCCCAGCACTAGGGAAGAGTCTGTGAGGACTAGGAATTGCAAGACACAGAGTCATTAAAAATTTGGTTTTAAAGATTTGTGTTTGTGAGGGCCTATGTGTGTGTGTGTGTGTGTGTGTGTGTGTGTGTGTGTGTACAACTGCTACCCACAGAGGCCTAAAAGGGCATTTGGTCTCCTGGAACTAGAGTTACAGACAACAGTGAGTCACCACGTGGGTGTTGGGAACCAAATCCAGGTCATCTGCTAGAGCAGCAAGTGTTCTTGAGGAATCTCTCTAATCCCTCACTTAAATATTTAAACAATTAAAATATAGTTAATACTTGTCAGATTAATTTTTTCCTCATAAATATGGAATTAAACTCAACAGAAACAAATACTTGTGCTTCTTGTTTCTTTGGTTGTTCTCTGGAGAGTGTGCTAGTCAAGCACTCTACTACTGAGCTACACTACCAGTACTCTCACAGCAAAGTTGTGACTCATGGGCTATTGTTCTCTACTGGATGTATGGATATATTATCTTGTATGTAGATAAGTGTGTGAAGGTATAAGAATGCAGAGACTGAAGCAGGATGTCTTTCTCTATTGTCCTCCATTTTACTTTCTAGAGACAGGGTCTCACAATGACCTAGAAACTTGACTTTTTAGCTAAAGTGTCCAGTGCTCGGCACCCTCCCGACTCTCCCCCAAATGCCAGTCATCGGCACAGGTGGCCATGCTCAGCTTTTTATCTGAGTGCCGGGGGATGTGAACTCAGGTATTCATGCTGTATCCACTGAGCCGTCTCTCCAGCTACACACTTATTAATACAGTAAAAATGGCATTCTTTTTGGTCTCAATCACACTTGTTCTCTAAGCTGTTTATGCCAGCTATGCTTATTTTAAACTGTATTGCTAATTATGTCAACTTCAAAAGTAAGAGTTTTCTGTGAAACCTAAGTTGAAACTCCAAGGACAGAACACACAGATGGTTGCTAGAGTCAAAGGAGATGCTGATTACCAAGAGGTAAAATCATCTTTTCCTAGACTGTGGTGACTAAATGTGCCTGTCACAACTTGTAACTTTACACACACCAAAAAGGGTGTATCACTTTATGAAGTCTTAAAAACTATTTACACTGGCATGTGTGCATGTCGAACAAGCATATGGATGGAGGTCAGAAAACAACTCTCAAGAGCTGTTTCTCAGTTGACATGCTCCAGTATCTGGGGATTAACTTAGGCTTTGTGCAAGCCTACCCTCTACCCCATTGGCCTAGTTATGTTTCAAGAAAACCAACTTAAAGGCTCACTACTACTCATTAGGTACAGGAAAGACAAACATGCATAAGTCTAATGTGAGCCTAAGGCTTTCTTTTGAAATATTAATCTATTTTTTTATAATGGAGTGGTAAGGTTGTGATCCACCATGTGGGTCATGTGGGTGCTAGGAACCAAATCCAAGTCTTCTGCAAAAGTATCGAGGGCTCTTACCAATGAACCATCTCTCCAGTCCAGCTCACTGTACTTACAGAGGACCTAGGTTCAGTTCTCAGCACCCACATCAGGAAGCCCACAACTTGCCATAATTTAATTGCCTGTAACTCCAGTCCCAAGAGATCCAATGCCCTATGGCCATCTAGGACACCTGCACACATGAAAAGATGACACTACAAACAGAAAATGGACCCACAACTGAGAAGATAAGAGAGCTGCCAGAGAGGATGGCAGCAGGAATGCCACCTGCCCTAGTCTGCTCAGGAAGGAGATCACAGCAATTATACACATTGACAGCTCAGAACCTAGGCAAAAGCAAAAACCTCATATGAACAGAAGCACTTTGACCATGTATTTTCATTTCTAGGAATATAGCTTAAAAAAGTCAATCATCAGAAACATGTAAGCCTTTGGTGTATAATCTTTCTAAACTATATTCAAACAACATTAAAAATCTGACAAAAAATGTTCATTCATGCATAAGTTCAGGTTAATGTATGCATGGATTTCAAGTCTTTTTGATTAGCCTATAAATAATGCATTTTATATAAAATGGTTTCTAATAGTGAGTTGAGATGTTTTAAGTCAGAAAATCCTAATCAGAAACCAAGTTATTCATACAAACTTTTTTTTAAGGTCTTGCTAGTTTAAAAAAAATCCTTATCAGCTGGGCAGTGGTGGCACATGCCTTTAATCCAGCATTTCAGGGGCAGAGACAGGAGGATCTCTGTGAGTTCCAGACCAGTCTGGTCTACAAAGCTACACAGAGAAACCCTATCTTGAAAAACAAAACAAAAATTCATTATCAATTTTAAAGATTCCTTTTGTTATGTGTGCCTTTATACCATGTGCACGCAGGTAGGCAGAAGTGGGCATTGGATCCCTTGGAGATGGAGTTACATGTTTTGATCATGTGACATGGATGTTGGGACCCATATTTGGATCTTCTGGATGGGCAGCTAAGCCATCTCCCTAGCCCATTAAATGACTTACATAAATTTCAAAGGAAATTGAACTAAGGAAAATGGTGTGTAGTACCACATGCTAGCAGAAGGTGGCTATGGGATCACAAATTAAAATGTTTCAGAGAAAAATGATTCTGTGGGACAACCTGCCAATACAACTAACTTAAATTTCAAAAAGAGCCAAAGGTTAGCGAATTATTTGTCCATCATATTTACCTTCTCCGAGGAGATCTGCTTCTTCTTCTTGGAGACCTGCTGCGTCTCAATGGAGAACGAGATCTCCTTCTAATGGGAGACCTACTTCTTCTTCGGGTTGGAGACCACCTATTGATGGGGCTGGCATCTTTTGATCGTTCACATCTACTGAGAATATCATCTCGAGGTCGCGTTCTTAAGGGGAACAAATGCAAGTTAAGAGAAAACAAGAACAAACTAAAAGAATCCTTTTGACATGTAAAGAGCATAAGATTCACAAACTTAATGAGGGCAACTCTGATTAACTTACTTTGAATTATCATTTAAAGTCATATGATCCCATTGGCATTATGGTGTTACAGAAGGCATACAATGAAAGTATTTCCTATGACCTCAGAATATAAAAATTTAAAGCTATTCATGTTAAAAAGAAACTAATTTTGGATGTACAACTCAAAGGAAATTTATCTAAATGGGTTATAATATCCTATTTTCTCATTTTGAAGTGTCTACATATTGATATTTCTGTGGTTAAGAAATCTTTTGTTTGTTCATTGTATGTATGTGTGCATGCCTGTGCCTTGGCATAGGTGTGAAGTCAGTGTTAACTTGAACTTTCTAAGATACAACTGTACACATAACAAGACTGGGCAAATTCACTTGTGATTATACTACAAAGAAGCTTCAAATGTAACCAACAGACATCTCTGCACACAACAGTGAAAAATAAATCCATTCAATGTTCATGAGCAAAATATGGAACAGTTACACTGGAACTTATTGAAGTTATAAAATATAAAAAAATGAACCTACATACTGTCACCAAAGCATTTCCCCAAAAACGGTATACCATAAGTACTTTGATATAAATTACAAAATTCCATTTGTAAGAAAACGCTTATATTTAACTATAATATGCATATGAAGTAAGCAGGCAGGATATAAACTTATGCGAGAGACTGTAGAGGAATAGGGAGGCCAAGAAGTTACATGCTTCTGCATTATTTGGCCTTTTCTTCAGCCTATATCTTTTACAATTAAAAAAAAAGGGGGTGCTATGAATATACAATATGTTTGGTCTTCTATAAAACTTTCAGTTTCCTACTGAACTAAAAGCAAACTGGGATGACTAAAACACTTCAGATAAAGATGATCAATAAAACTAACAGCCTCAAAGCTGAGTGCTGAAGGAACGGGAGATTCGAGTATTTTTCATATAAGGCTACTTAGAAGTGAAGAGCAACGAATCTATTAAGATGGCTCTTCGAAAACACTCTTGAAAGTTCTCAGAACGTGATGATTCGAACTTCAAGATTAATTTAGTTACACTGAACACATTAATATCAATAGAAATGAACTAGAATTCATATCATCTTTACAAGCCAACATCTTTTTAATAAACCTAACACCTATGGCAATTTCATAATGCACAATTCCTATATACACAATAGTTAGTTTCTAAAAAGCCTCTTCCATTTTCTCCAAATTTAGTTCTATGATCCTAATAAATTATTTCTTTGATTATATACTATACTGACTTAGGCCTGTAAACCCAGCAGTTAGGAAGCTGGAGAACATTAAGCCCAAGGCCAGTCACAGCTACATCATGAGCTCATACATCAACAACCCCCAAAATGTGTTCATAGAGGACCCCCACTGAGCTAAGATAATCCCATGCCGATATAATAAATTGCTTGAATTTAAATGGTTGACTGAACAAATTAGAGGCTAAATTAAGCCAAGAGTTTGAAAGAAATGGTCAAACTATTACTATCAAACACTCCAGTGTTAATACATTAAAATTATGAAACTCATCGCCATGTCATTTAAAATTATCTTCACACTATATTTTTTCCTCTAAAATATAAAGCACTATTAAAAGCTTGACTGTTTTATGAATAAGTTACCTTGGAGAAGAAAGTCGTCTCCTCTCTGGCTCTCTTCGTTTTCTTTCTAAGGATCGGCTCTTAGCCCTTCTACCTGGAGACAGAGTTCGAGAAGGTGATTTGCTCTGCTTAGATCTTCTGTCATTGAGAAGTGGAGACCTACTTCTTCTTGACTTGTCCCGCTGTTTTGGAGACAAACTTCTTCTTTTAGGACTACGGCCAGGTCTTCTACTAGGTGACCTATTTTCCTTCCCAGAAGAGGCATCTTTTGAAGGAGATTTAATTGGCTTCTTTTCTTTCTCAATTTCAGACCGTTTTGACTTTCTCTCTTTGGATCTTGACCTTCTGTCTTTGGATTTATCTCTTAAGTCAACTGGGGACCTGGATTTTTTAGATCGATCTCGGCTTCTCTCATTTACAATGGGAGATTTCTTCCTATCTTTTATTTTACCTTTATCTTCAATCTTAAGCTTCTCATCAGTAGGAGATCTGGCCTTCCCAATTTTTTCTTGGGAACGCCGTCTAAGGGGAGGGGACTTTGATTTTCTTGCTTGGTCTTGAGACTTGCTTCTTTTGGAAGGACTTGTGGATTTTCTCCTCTCCTTGGACTTACTCCTGTTTGCTTTCTCTCTCACTAGGTCAACAGTTCCCTTGCTTTTCCTTTTGTCTGACCTGTGTCTAGTCCGTTCTTTGGATCTGCTCTTACTTCGTTTTTTTGCACTATTTTTGTTGTCCGTAATTTCAAGTTTTCCCCGTGTACTGGAAGACCTGGTACTGGACCTATTTCCATTTCTTGCCTTTTCATGAATCTCTCCTTCTTCTTCGGAGCCAGACTCATAGCCTTGTAAAATGAGCCCCATTCCAGACTGAACTTTTCCCTCCATTAACTCATTATCAAGCTCAGCTTTAATCAAGGCTCTCTGTTTTTCCAAGTCTTCCAGCAAAGCTAAATCATCAAGTTTAGTTCTTTTTGCAGGCGACAGGCCTTCTTTGTCAGAAGCATCTATAACTTCTTTTCTTTTGTGTTTCTTATGCTTATGCTTATGTTTGTGTTTTTTATCCCTATCTTCTTCTGAGGAATGTTTATGTTTCTTATGTTTACTTCTATGTTTATGCTTCTTTTTTTTGTGACGACTGTGTTTATTTTGAGATTGGTCTTCTGATACTTCTCCATTTTCTTCATTCACACTCTTTTCAGAATTATCAGCATCATCCATTCTATAAATGTATGAAACATATTTTACAATCACAGTATTTATCCAGTTAAAACAATTATCAGTTATAACAATAGTAATGAAAAAATCATTTAACTGAAATGAAATCCAAAGCAGCAATAATAAAATCCCATTAATTTTAGTTACACAGAAGCTCCAATAATTTGATTTCAACCCAGCATTTCCCACAAAACTTAAAACAAAAGGCCCACTTTCTCTTTTACATACTGGGAAGCTCATCTCTTCAACTTGATACTCACAAAACTTGGTGTCTCTACAATAAGACTAGTTAGCAGTTTACTTGTTGTGAACACATCTCACCTAATCACCCCTCTTGAAAAAAAAAAAAAAACTCAAGGATTAATACTGAATGCTCCAAATAAGCAGTCGGTAACAATATAAACAAATCCCCATGGCTAAGACTTCGGAGAACTACAGGAGTAACGACTCCTGGTTTGTAGCTCCCTAGCTACAACCACAAGGAAAGACATTCTGGAGGTCAACAGTAATCTAATACCAGAAACTTTGCAGGATTTGATTCAGTATTTGTAGTGCAAATTATTCACTCTCTGAATTTCAAATAGAAACTGTTATCCCAAATTATGTTCCTATCACAGATGGATGCAAAAAAGAATGAACTAAGGGATATTCTGTGTTTTAAATGCTTTGAGTTTTACTGATAGTTTATGACTCTCAACTTATCAAGACTAAGTGTTCAGTAATTCCAGATTACTAGCCTAGCCACTGTTAATTCAAAACATTCTAAGTGAAATAACATGTTGAATGTACCAATCCTACCAAATGTCATAGCTCTGACAAGCAGCAAACATGTAAGTTCTCCCTCTGAAGGCACACCACCACTGCTGCCTACAAGATGGGATCCAAGGGCAAATTTGAGATAGTCTTGGGTTCAGCCTACCACACTAATTTGGAGGAAGACATAGTTCACCTGCCTCCAAATGACATATTTCTGGTGCTTTTGAGTAAGTTTTTTTGTTTGTTTTTTACAAAGGAAGAATCATGAATCTATGTATCAGTCTCTGAACATTTTTAAATGACCTACTACTATATGTAGATTTTTCAGCAAGGAGAACAAAAAAAATAAAATGTGCAAGGACATATTTGCCTCCCTCAAGGAGAGCACAGCCCAGTGGGAAAAACCACCACACAAACAACCATAAAACATTAGAGAAGAACCAACATCAAAAGACACAAACAAGGGGGTCTTGAACACAGAAGGATCACCTAAACCCATTTTTGAGAACAGACAAGAAGGGTGTTTTGTTGAACACAGGGCTAAGGAGGTGTGTGTGTATGTGTGTGGGGAATCCAATTCATTTATTAAGTGGGCATATTAAAGAAAAGATGTTAACTGAGAAGGATGTGGGCTAAAGACTAAAGATGCAGTAAGAGTATTCTAGAGTGAGCAAAGAATGGTGAGAAATGGCACCTGGAATACAGAAAGCGGGCAGCACAAGCACATCATGTAGAGAAAACCACACTCAGATGGCTGTGTCAGTGCACAACCCTATGAAAGACTCTGATCTAACAGAGGCCAAGATCTCAAGTGAAACACCTCTGGATGACAATATGTATGTGATTCTATAAGTGTCTGAGACAGAAGGAAAGGTCCACTGAGAACCCAAAGGCACAGAAACAGCAAGGTTAAAGTGCTGGCTTGGCTGTTCAGAAAAGCATGGCCATTTCTGGAGATTGCAGCAGGATGTGGGCACATCATAGTCTTGCCCTCTGGCAGGCCTCAGTTTCCTATAACTTGGTAGCAAGGGGCAAGGGAGACAGAATATATTTGAGTGAGAAACTATCAGTTGACAACAACAAAGGCTTGGAAAACATACAGCCGTTACATGGTATCAATAAAAGGAACCCTGAAATCTAAAACTTCAATTTCTGATAAGGTATTAAAGAGATATGCAGAGAAAACTGTCCTTTACGGTCACATTTCAATGTGGGCCAATTTCTTGCTAGTAGAGTATGAGGCGATACCGGCCAAATATAGTATGGTTCCTGAATCACAAATTTTTTCCATGAATCTTGACTGATTAGGGGGAAAAGCTCAAGAAAAATTACACTAATCTTTTTAAAGATAAAACATTCATTTTAAATGTAAGTATCCATAGTAAAGAATTTTAGTCACAAAAGTAACCATAAGTCACATGACACAAAATGCTCTTAAAATTAAAGTAAGCAGTCCCCAAGCTAGACTGCTGCAGTTAAACTTGGCTTCACTACTGTGCTAGTAGTGAGGATTTGGCAAGGATCCCTGCCCCTGCCCCTGCCCCTGCCACGGGCTTTCTCTATGTAGCCTTGGCTGTCCTGGAACTTACTTTGTAGACCAGGTTGGCCTCAAACTCAGAGATCCACCTGCTTCTGTGTGTCCAGTACTGGGACTAGGGTTTGGCAAGTTTACGGTGTCTGCAATTTCAGATGGGGGAAAACAACTGTACCTACCCAAAAAGATATTAAACCCTTAATTACAACAGAGTTTAGCATGAACTGACCGCTCAAAAGAAAGATATCATTGTATACATATTAGACAATTATACCTATGCAAACATACCCTGTCTGTGGAGATGACTGGGTAGTTATTGAAGGAATACCATCAAAAGGGGATGCTTCTAGAATCAAACCACCTGACTCAAGGTGCTGTCCCAACATAACACCGCTATTGTAACCCTGGGAAAGGCGCTCCTCTAATGCCATTTTCCTCAGCTATGAAAACTGGAAAAATCAGTAACACAGACAAATCACAGGTTTGTGCGACAACCACACACAAACTTGTGATTGAAATATGGTCACAGTAATTATATAAGAGCCTTACTTTTGCTTCCTTAGCAAAGAGTGCTTTTCAGAAGATTCTATGTGCACACATATTACTCCTTGGTACTTAATATGCAATACCTAAGTGATTCAAATCCTCCACACACACACACACAAAAAAAATCATGAGTTTTTTTTTTAATGGTGGAAATAGAATATTAAGCATAGCATTTAACTTTAGGTATGAAATAAGTTCCATTAGAAATAATGACATTAGGAGCTGGAGAGATGGCTCAGCAGTTAAGTGCACTAGTTACTCTTCCAGAGGTCCTGAGTTCAATTCCCAGCAACCACATGATTGCTCACAACCATTTATAATGAGATCTGGTGCCCTCTTCTGGCCTGAAGGCAGACATGCAGGCAGAATACTATACTTAATAAAATCTTTTTAAAAAATGACATTATCTAGCTTTAAAAAGAAATCTACAATTTTACAAATTACAGTTTCCTGATTTTTAAGAAATGTTACCTTGGGATAAACAATGTTAACTAAAATAATCCTATATACCCATACAACAGACTTCTATCTTCTTCAGTTGATCTTTCCAAACAAACTTCAGAAAACAAGCGTTATAGTTTATAGTTCCAAGGGCACTTCAGTGGTAGAGCACCTAACATATGTCAGACTTTGGAATTACAACAGTACCACAAGAAATGGGTATATAAATAAAGTGGCAAAAACAGCTTTCATTATCAACAGCTTTCTCCTAAAGCTTAGTAAAAGGCTGCTGGTTAAGAAAACTGGTTTACATGGACAACAGAGACACATAAATCTATTTCTTTACATTTGCATTTTACAATGTAACAAATGAATGTACATCAACATTTACAACGAGTATATTTTAAAACAAGTATTTTCTAATAACCTATAAGGACTGGTTAACATTTACTCACATTACCCAACATCAAAGCTCAATCTAAAACACAGGGGGTTCAGCAGTTTGCTCATTTGTTTTACCCTGTAAGCAGCCTAGGTCTTTGGAAGATCTGGCACAATAAATACAAAACAACATGAAGTCACTAATTACCAAGCATTGTTATTTTTAATATTTTTTAATAATGCAACCCAGGCTGGCTTGGGACTTTGATTCCTCCTGCCTCAGATCTCCAAGTTCTAGGATTATAAGCATGCACCATCATAAGCAGCTCAAAGTCAGCTCTGTCTGAGACAGGGTCTCACTATATACCCCTAGCTGACTTGAAACTAGGAGAACTGCCTCCCTAAAGGCAGAATTAAAGATATGTAACATCATGTCTAGTTAGCGTCAGATTTTTATTTTCTTTTTAACAATTTTTTGGCTTTTCAAGACAGGGTTTTTGTATAGGCCTGGGCTATCCTGAAACTCACTTTGTAGTCCAGGCTGGCCTCGAACTAAAGATTGCTTCCAGAGTGCTAAGGTTAAAAGTGGGCACCACCACTGCCCAGCTAAGGATAGTCATAATTTATTTTGGAAGGACTCAACTTATCCATTAGAGGCAAGCAATCTAGAAAACTATTTTTTAAAAGGACAATCATTAAAAAATATATTAATGTTGAGCAAAGTGAATGTAAAGAGAGTAGTTAAGTGACTTTCTCTTACAGACTGAAATACTTTTAAAGCAGAATTGATGTACCTGTTAGAATGGATCCCAAAGACCAATTAGTTACAGACCTGTCTTCTGCCCTATTTTCTAAATCATGATTTAGAAATTAAATTTTAATGAATTAAAACATAACATCAAAAATACATCTTAGCTGGGAATGGTGGGCATGCTTGGGAGGCTGGCCTGAAGGACATAGGCAATCCTCATGGGAGTTGGGTGCATCTCTGTGGTAAAGTGCTTACTTAGGCTAGCATATGTGAGGTTCTGAGCTCACTCCTAGTACCAGACCCTTCTCAATTATCCCAGGCTGAGAATGTGGCTCAGGGGTAAAGTACTTTTTCATTAACATGTGCAAAAGGGCTCTGAGTTTGATCCTTACTTCCTCTTCGAACCCTAAAAGGATCTTTCTGGGACACTAGCAAAAACTTATTTCAAGCCTAAGGGCAAATGAGAAGAGAGTCACGGTACAACCATCAGAAGAGGGTCTTTAAAACCAGATTGCACAATTAAAACATGTGCATCACAGTGTGATCTTGAGCAAACTATTTCTCCAGGTTAGTTTCACCACCCATAACAGCAATAACAGTATCTACCTCAACAGTATTGTTACAAGAATTAATGAGCTACTATTTGAGTGATTTGAATAGTACTAATGACTGCAAATAGTTTTGTTTTAATGAACTACAAGAAGCTGACAAACACACAGGCCATTACAACAAAAGCCCTTTGAGCCTTTGAGGAATTTTTAAACTCTGTAATACATGTATTCTTTATTTTTTTTTAATTTTGAACAGCTTCCCTGTAACTACAAGCTATTCAGTGTAACTACAAGCCATTTAGACACTGTTCGAGCACTATGGTCAGCAACACACATAGTGCCTGCTTTCATATCAAATTGTCACTTCATTAATTACTTTCAAATTAGTGAAAATAGAACACAGAAAAAAACATTCCACTTGCAAAATTTCTGTGGAGGAAGGGAGGGTAAACTAAAACTATCACCAGTATTATGTGCAGTTGCCAGAGCCTAAACAAATGTATGTTTATAACTATAGTATTATTTAAACATGCAAATGTAATAGAGTTGAATCATTCTGAAAATGAACTCTTCCCTCAAATTAAATAAATGGACTTAATTCTAGGAACTTTTCAGATTACTACAACACTCAGCTATACAGCCGAAGACATCCTTTGTACTGAACTGACATCCTGTAACTGCCACACCATGAACTCTGTGAGACAACAAGCTATGTCTACATAAAACCCTGTCTGTTTTCTGCTAAGCCAAAATGTCATAACAAAGCCTACTTAATACAAACAAACAAACAACAAAAAACCGCTGAACTCTCTGTCAAGCTGAGTAAAGCAAATGACAGGGGAACCCAAGACTAGACTCTGAGCAAAGAAGTCAAGTTATTTGATAGCAAAAGTTGTCCTCTATTACAAGTTGCTGGAGACGGTATCAAACGCTTTTCTAAGAAGGCTGGAAACACTAGATAAATGCAGATGTAAGAGGCGGGGGATGCTGTCGCAACACTGTCTTCAATGCCATTCTCTTTTAAGTTAAGCTTTCCTAGGATAAACATGAGAAGAGAAAAAACCACTAGTCTTTGCCTATTCAAGAATGTGTTGTTCACTTGGTCTCAACTTCCACATTAGCTTAATTATAAACAAAGCGTAGTACTGAAAGTAGCAATAATTCCCAATACTTCCCCCATGTGTCTTCTTCCTACAGGGATATAAACTAAGGCAAAAATTGTCAGGCCTCAAAACCCAGGCAGTCTACCTTCCCTTTGCCTCAAGTTTGAAAGTTGGAGATAAGCTGCCAATGGGCAGAGATCTACCGGGTTGTGGTGAGAGTGATAAGAGGGCGAAGGACTTTGCCAGCAAAGACAATTTCCGGTACAATCGAAAAGTGTGACCCTAGCACCTCCGTCTCTGCTTTTGCCGTCAGCAGGACCGCAGGGTAGTGTATGCATTAGGAAAGTGGGGCTTGGCCTGCCAGCCGCTAGAGCCCCTCGGGTGCCCCACGCGGGGGTTGCAGAGGGTTGAGACCAGAGAGCTCCACCGTCCCCGGGGGAGGAGCGGGAAGGCACGACCTCGGGGCTGCGGCGGCCGCCACGCGAACTGGACCTGTAGAGGCCGCTCGTGCCACCGCCTCCCGGGGCAACGACGCGCAGCAGGCCGCGCTGCTGGCGCCCCAACAGCCGCGGCCCCTGGGCAGCAAAGCCGGGGCCGCTCCTACGCCTCCCTCCGCACCAGCCGCGGCGCGCGGAGAGGCAAAGTTTGGCTGTCGCCGTTAGGCCTGAACTTTCCCGCCCGTCACGCAGGTCGCCGGAGCCTTCCGTCCGGCGGCCCGCGGGCCCGGCTCCGAGCCCCCGCACCGTCCACTTACTCCGGCTGCTCCCGCAGCGACGGGGGCTCCGCGGCGGCCATCTTGAACTTCGCGACTTCTCCGCCGCGCTGGCGGCGGCTCCGCGAACCGTGGACGCCAGGGGAAGCGGAGGAATAAGAGAAAAGCAGCCGCGCATGTGCAAAGCACGTAGAGAAAAGCGGCGCTCCGAGTCCGCGCTAAGAATCCGGATAGAAAAACCCTACGTCCGGGGGCGGGACGCGGAGGGCCTTGATGTAATTTCCGGAACCAGTGGGCGGAACCAGCGGAGATGAAGGCCTCTCTGACTTGAGCCACGGTCCGTATGGAAACTGTTTGCGCGGAGAGACTTGCGGGAGTGAGGGGTGCGGTGCTGGTCCTGAGCGTGCATTGCTGGGAGCTGATTCTCCTTGGGGCCCCGAAGCGGGTGAAAGCACCTCCGTGCCTTTTATTGCTGCTGATTAACCGAAAGCCTTTAACCCGCCCGAGTGTACCCCAGGTCCCCTTTTGACCTCCTGTTCTTTGTGGTGTGCTTTACTTGGGAACTAAGCCTTCCTATTTTTGGAAGGGATAAGTAGGGGGTAAATAATGGACGCTTATACCGAACTGTAACCAATTTCAGATTTACATAAATCATTCTTCAAAAAGCAGAATAAAGCCGTCTAAAGAATTTTTGCAAAAATTTCCTTTGAAGATTTTTCCCCTCTCACTACGTTCATTTCCATGCTATTATCCATTTGGGGGCAAGACAGAGAAGTGTAAGACATTCCAAATTGTTACTGTTAACAGTTAGTAAAGGTGAATCAGAGACATTAGCTTAATCGCTCAGGAAACGTTTACAAAGTGACAGACAGGCCAGACAGTTCCTCGGACGTTTTCCGCCTCGAGAGCCCTGGTGTCGGAACGCCCTCTACCGCAGCCACAGTTTCCGCGGACGGGGCGGAAGTGAACGCTCGGAGGCCGAGTCAGCTTCCCGGAAGTCTTTGGCCTGCTAGAAAGACGCATGCGTGCTTGCGTCCTGGGCAAAGCGTGGGCGTGTTCAAAGCGGGCCGCGGCGGTTGCTGCCTTCCTACTGCGGCGGGCTGGTCTAGGCGGGCCTTGCCGGTTCCGGGCTCCTGCCCAACGCGTCTGTCCCGGCCCGCACCTCTCCTCTGCCGGCAACGTCAGCGGAGATTGCGTCTGTGCTGTGCGCGTCCTTGCGGCCCCTAGGTTTCCTCCAGTAGAGGTCCGTCCTGTGGACACTGGAGACGGACAGCGCTCGGCACTCCGCCCGTAGACAATGCAGAAAGTTGAGGCTTTGGAGGCAAGCTCGTCTTTGTGAACGCTTCATCTTTTCCTACCGTCTGTGCTTGCTTCAAGTATTATTCTAAACGAGATGCCGATTCCTGAAATAATTAGGAAATACCTTTTAAGTTTATTCCTGTGGAAAGCTATTAAACTCGTACCTTCTAAAAGACACAGTAGTTATTAATCCCCGTAAGCTCTTAATAGGCTCATTATGACAGACTACCCACAAATTACGAGCATCGTGAAATCCTTTGATTCTTGCAGTTTCCAGGTGTCTTTGAGGAATGTAGAACGTCACTTGGAACAGCGCTTGAGTTTGGAGCTTTGTGGGAAGACGCCGAACTGATGTTAACTTGCATGAAGCGTCATGCCTGTCTTAATTTGACTTTTTGTTGTTGTTTTGGTACAATTATGAGAACGGGGCAAACGCAAAGAATAAATCGCCCTCCATTACCCACATTGAACCAACAAGAATATGTTGGTTTATTTTTACCCTTTTGCTATGTGAAATATATTTTCTCTCTCTTCGTGCACACAATGTCGTAGTTTTACTCATGTAACAGTTCTCAATGTTTATGTTATTCTGGTTTGACAAACATCTTGACATTGTTGTCCTTGTTACTAAGTGTCTAGATTGTATCCACTTTGCACAATTATAATATGAAGAGAAACAGCTAGAACAGTGTTTAGAAAAAAGCAAGGGGGCTGGCGAGGTGGTTCGGTTGGAAAGGATGCCTGCCAAGAGACCTGAGAAACTAGATTCAACATCCAGACCCCCTCATGAATTGTCTTCTGACCTCTATTCATGCGCACACAAAATAAGATTAATAGAATTTTTTTAAATGTAGAATTTATGTCAGTAAAAGGCTTCATCATTCACCGTGCAACTAAGAATAGCTCATCTTTTTATTTTTCTAGTTTTACCAATCAATAATATGGGGATAATAGTTCTCGTTGTAGAAAAATGAAATAATAAAATTATTTCTTGTGTGATATATTTTAGTGACATATGATTAATTTCTATATTCTATGTGTAAGTACTATCATTGCATGGTAACTCCACTAAAAAAAAACACTTAGAAAGTCTGTATTTCCTACTGGTGACTGCACAAAACACCCAAATCATCCAGCCCCAAGCTTTACCCTTCCTTGTCCTTTATGTACAACAATCACATCCTGGTTGACACACTTTGATTAACAAGAACAGTAAGGAAGATAGGTGAGTACATTTAGGGACTTCCCTGGATTCTGGAACCCAGGACTAGGTTTTTGATGGATTAGGTCCATGCTCCCATTTTGGCAGGTGTTGGAACCTGTGTGCTAGGTTCTAAAGTCAGAATGGTGCCTCCAATGTGGGTTGTGCTAAGGTCTGAGAGCCTGTTACCAAACTATATGTAAGGGATTTGATGGCTTTTCTTGTTTTGGTGTAACAAATGTTGGAATTACAAATTGATATCTTTACATTAAGAAATAATTAATTGTAACCTTTTCACCCATGATTATTCATGTTTAAGAATATCCTTTCTCAGATTTATGCACATGTGTATTATGGTTTTCAAACTAGAATTATAAATTTGGTTTAGTAGTTTGCTAAGGATAGTGAAGATGAAATTATGCTGGAAACTAGGGCATGATGGCATATGCATCTAATCCAGCACTCAGAAGGCAGAGGCAGGCAGATGTCTATGAGTTTGAGGCCACCCTGGTCTGCATAATTCCAAGACTATGTATAGAGAGACCCAGTTGAAAGGGAGAGAGAGAGAGTGGGGTGGTGTTAAAGATGTGGGGATAAATCTATAAAGAGAGCTGGTAGAATGTGGATTTCATTACAAATTTACTGCATGGAGTAACCTGGGGATCACAGAGTAACATGAGTAAATTTGTTAGAGAAGATTTACTTGGGATCTGGGTCACCTCAATGAAGAAGTAATCTAATTCTGGTAATCTCACTGAGATGGTGATCACTTAGATTGGTGTGAGAGTCGTAATGTGGTTGGATGGAGATAAATTTTGAAAGGACAGGTTATAGGATTTACCAATGTATTGGATGTAGGAAAAAGAAAGCCACTTAGAAGCGTTTTGCTTTCTGAGTGATAATTCAGTGATAAAGTACATGGGTAGCTTATATAAGGCCCTGGGTTCTAAGCTCAGTACTGCATTTTCAAAACTGTGTTAGCTTGGGCAGTGACCCTTAGTATTCAACAGCAATGCAAGAAAGGAAGAGCAGGTTCTGGATGCATGGATGGGGTGGGGAGGAATTTAGTTCTAGTCTTTTTATACCCTCAGAATAAAACATATATACATTGAGATGGCTTGCTTTTTCATGTAACAGTAATTTTTACTTAATTTTAGTTTCAGTAAGCATTTTTGTCCTTGTTACAAGGTATCTAGGGCTTTCCATGCTGGAGTTACTAATTTAGTTCCAGTGAGCCATGCAAATGATAGACACACTAAACAATACATATATTTATTATAATTATTGCTTTTACATCTTTTAAAGAAATGAGAGAACTAGCTGGGTGGTGGTGGCCCACACCTTTAATCCCAGTACTTGGGAGGTAGAGACAGGCAGATCTCTGTGAGTTCAAGGCCAGCTCTGGACTACAGAGTGAGCTCCAGGACATGTTCCAAAGTTACAGAGAAACCCTGTCTCAAAGAGGAAAAAAAAAAGAAATGGGAGAACTGAAGATGGCAATTTTTGTTGTTGTTGTTATGTTAACTTTATCCTCTAAGATTCTGTTTTGTTTCCTGTGAAATTCAGTTTGCCATCTGAGGTAATTTCTTTTTTTCTTTTTTCTTTTTTCAAAACAGAGTTTCTCTGTATGGCTTTGGAGACTGTCCTGGACTCACTTTGTAGTACAGGCTGGCCTCGAACTCACAGAGATCTGCCTGCCTCTGCCTCCTGAGTGCTGGGATTAAAGGCATGCGCCACCAACGCTCAGCTCATCTGAGGTGATTTCTAAAGCTTTGTTCTGCTCTGCTCTGTATCAATTTCATCCTGGTTGGAGGTGTGGTGAAATATTGTTTATGATTTATTAAAGCTTGCGTGAGGTAGGCAGCCATTGTTGGACTAGCTGGACCATAGCCTGTAAGCCACTCTGATAAATCCTCTTTACTTACATACTATCTGTTCTGTTCCTCTGGAGAACCCAAATACTGTGTTCAAATATATTCCTGCAGTTATCTCTTGTGTGACTTGTCTCTTTCTGACCTTGCCTTGTTCCAGACTATTCTCCATCCAGAAACCAGATTCCACTGCCAAAGCACAATGAGATCATGTCATCCTCTAGCCCTGCCCCCAGAACAGTAATACTTCAAATAAAGTCAAACTTGCTAGCATGCCTTGTCAGGGCCTTGATGATTTTAGCTCTGTCAATGTTCCAGTCTCAACTTTCAGCCACAGAATTCAAAGAAACATGAATGTGTACTTATGGTAATCCTAAATTTGCTATACTTTTTCTTCCTTGGAGTCCTACAGTTTTTCATATTTTTCTTAAGCAAATTTATCATAGCTACTACAACTCATTCTTCAGACACTGTCTTAAACATCATTTCCATGTCTTAAACATCAGTTCCATGCCTTCCTGATATGCATGTGGACCTATCTTTCCTATACTTTCTTTAAAACAATTGGTTGTTTTCCTGGGCTGTTTCACCGGGCTGTAGCCAGAGTCATCAGTTAAAAAGATTTATGTTAATTTTGATTGGCACCTGGATAATATTTAGGATCACTATGGAAACAGGTCTCAAGACATGCCTATAAAAAATGGTTAATTAAGGTGGGAAAACCCACCCTAAATGTGGGTAGATCCATTCCAGGAGCTGGAGTCCTTCGCTGAATAAAAATGAGAAAACAAGCTGAGCACAAACATCTATCTCCCTCTGGTTCCTGGCTGCATGATGCAATGTGATCAGCTGCCTCAGATTCCTGCTGCCATTCCTGTCCCACGATTAACCCTTCCTTCTATGCTTAATTCCTTAAGTTGCTTTTGTTAGATATTTTGTCACAGAAACAAGTAGAGAAAGATTTATTTTGACTAATCTCATGGATTTCACGATGCAGTCTTCGGCTCCTTGTTCTTGGGTGTTTGGTAAGGCAGAACATTAGGATGGAGGGGGTGTGCTATAACAGAGCTGCTCAGTGGGGAGAGGCGGACAAGGGATGGGCAAGAGCAAGATGTAGCCGCCAAGGCCCCTTCCATCACCTGGGCCCTGTCTCTTAAGTTTCTACTGCCTCCAATCAACCCATCTAATTGTGAACAGGTTAGTCCTTTGATGAAGTTGAGCATCTTTAGGATTCAGTCACTTCCCCAAAACTCTTAGCTAGCATCCAAGTCTTTTGCGCATGGTTTGGAGTGACATTTTAGCAGTATTTCCACTTGTATGTTTATTTCTGTCTTACTAGACTACAAATGAATTTGACATTAAACCATATCTCTTCTATTATTCTGTATGTAGGTTCTGACAATACTGAACACAGCAATAGGTATCCATGAAGTACATTCGATGAAACCATGGAAGAAGAGAAGAACCTTGGTTACATGATGTCATTGAAAACGTGGAGGACTAAATTTCATTTTATCTGCATATGAAACTTAAAAAGGATAAAAAATCAAAAGAAAAGAAAGTAGGAAGGAGATATGAGTAGCAAGCAAAGCTCTTGAAGGAGGTGACAGACAGGTGCAGGACCCAAGACATAGTTTTGGTGATTATCCAGCAAGTTCTTGCTTGTTTTTGTTTTTTGTTGTAACTACCTATGTAGATTTTTTTTTTAGTTTTACGAGACTGGGTTTCTCTGTATTGTTTTGGAGGCTGTCTGTCCAGCCCAGCCTCGAACTCACAGAGATCCGCCTGCCTCTGCCTCCCAAGTGCTGGGATTAAAGGCGTGCACCACCACCGCCCGGCCCTATGTAGATATTTCATAGATGTTTTTTTGATAACTGGTTAGGCCTGCTCATTTCAAAGTTCAGGCTATCTGATCTTCCCTAAGAGAGATGATAGCCACAGCTAACAGACTAAAGACAACTGGAAAACCCTCAACCATCATTTTCACTATTTATTAGATTTCAGCTTTTAATAGGATAATGAATGGTGCTCA